TCCCCACCCACCCATGTAGATTGAAGACATCTGTTAGAAAACTAAGAATGACTAACAGACAAGACAAGATTATTGAATCTATCTTAGAACCAACTCAACCAAAAACATGATTTGATGATTGGAGGTGCTTAAATCAACATGGAGACTATTGAGAATTGAACTCATGGCCTCCAGGTGAATTAGTCTGTTATACCATGCCAAAAAACCAACTTAATTAAAAGCTTAATCTAATTGATCGAGGTTCTAGGATAATCAAATATTTCCTGGCATCAAGAATAAAAATCAGAACTTATCCTATTAGTGAGGTTCGTTTCATTCTTGTATCTACTTTATTTTGTTTTAAAATTGTAATTAAACATGAAGAAAATTAACATCTGACCACTCTGCTTCTGATCTGGTTTGATTCCAATAAAAATAAATAATCACCAATAAGAATAAGTTGAAGAGAACATGCTCTAATACTAGTTGACTTGGGATAAAAAGTAAACATGACATAGAGACCCTAATATTATTCTAATTTCTAAACTGTAGTGTCTACTACTCTACTATTATCCCCACAAGCTGAGCCGAGCTTTTTGCGAAGCTTGGAGGCAAGATAAGTGAAGGATCGCGATGGGAGATGCTTATAGAGAATGAATAATTATATTGATCAATTGAATAAGGAGCATACATGAGAGTATATATATAGACTAATCCTAATATTATTATAAACTGTAGTATCTGTTATTAAACTCAATAGTCACACAATCATATAAAAAGAATGTTTGGGTGTTCTTATTTCTTCTAAAAAGTAATTATTTCGACAACAAAATTTAAAAGCATCTCACTTCTTCGTCGCTAAAAAAAAGCTGAAAATCAAACACACTCAAACATTCCAACTGCTTAAGAAAGAAACTAAGAATAATTTTTTAATCAATCCTGAAAACCTTCAAAGCACATAAATTTTATAAGGTGCATATTCAAAGCTATGGAGTGAATACAGATTGCAGAATTACTTTAAGCGTATGAAATTAATTAACTTCAATCCAAATATTTCTACATGGGTGAACTAAACAGGGAGTAAAGTTGGGACCTTTTCCACCGGAGGCTCCAATCGCGATGCGTTCGCCGGGTTTGAAGAGATTGTTGTCCACGATAACCCTATGGATCTCATCTTCGAAAGCTGCGTAGAAGCACTCTCTGCATATCTGTACTTAGGGGTAAACGGAAGAACCGGTAAGAAGAATAGAGGGATAGGTGATGAGACGGGAAGCGGCGACGATGACTAGCACTTACTGGCTGAAGGTTTTTAGGGCGTTTCAGGGCGGCGCGTCTTTCCTTGCAGATAACGCACAGTCTACCCTTCGGCTTCGCCGCCGGCGCCGCCGATTCCATGAAGATGACCACCTAACCGAGTTCCCCTTAATTCGCCGGGGTATATTTCTAAAGTAAAACCGAGTAAAAGTATATAATATTTTTTTTGGAATGACTATATATAATATATAATATTTTTTTTGGAATGACTATATATAATATTTAAAGATTGATGAATATTCAAAATTATCTCTTGTCATCCCTGAATACAAACATATTAGCCATCACACACTACGTTTTGACCTTCTACAGTAGCATATTTGTACTTATTCAGTATTATGGTTGGCATTATGGATTGTAATTATTGGTATTATGGCTTCCATGACACTTTGTATAGAAGTATTCTTTAATGTAGCGACGATGATGAAGGAGGAACAACAAAATAATTCAAAAGAAATGGTTTTAAAAACTATGGGTGGATTTTGGTTCAGACCAATAAATTGGGCTAAAATATGAAGATGAAATAATTTATATAATAAAAAAATCTGGATTTTTTTGTTTAGATGGAGAATGGAAGGCATTCCAAGAGAAGATATAATATTCTTGGCCCATACTAGGGAAGGTCTTGTTAAGTTAATTATTTTTATTTAGAAAAGTTTAAGTTTTAACTCCTATTTTGGCATATGACATATTTGTGTCTTCCGAACTTCGACAATAAAAGAATCAACCATTAGGCTCTGTTCCGTACGTCAGATCTGATTGAATTTGATATGAATTTTTGAAGTTCTGATCTGATTAGATCTGATCTGATTTGATTGGTTGTGATCTGATCTGATTGGGTCTGATTTGGTCTGATCTGATTTAATCTGATCTGATTGGATCTGATTTTATCAAATTAGATCTTGTGTAAATGAATTTAAATTTGATTTAAATTAAACTTAAAATTATTACAAAATTTAATAGTTTTAAAATATCACAATTCATACATACATAAAAAAGTAAAATAATAAAATCAACTAATCATTGATATATTTAATTTTTTTTGAAATATTAAACACCTTTTCAATATCACTAATTTTTGAATTTTGTGAAAACTAAATAATCAGCATTAAAATAACTAAATATTAGAAACATAGATGCTTTTTTTAAAAAAATACATTCTATATGCATATTTAATAATAATATATTTAATGTTACAAATTAAATATCATATAAAATCTTAAACACTAATATTCCTTTTACCTCTATCAATTTTGTCATAAACTTACCCTTGTATATATTATACCATATTAAAATTTAAAAGTAATTCTTTTTAAGTATAACATATTTATGGCTTTGAAAACGAAGTTTTGTATAATTATTTTATAAACAAGTATTTCAAAACAACTCTTTTTAAGTATGAAAAATACGACTTTTTAAGAGTTAACTTTACTTCCATGCATCATTCCTACAAGCTGAGTAATTATTACAAATAATGGTTTGTGGTTGAAATGTAATAATAATAATATAACAATAATAATAGTAAAAATTATAATATTAATTAAAAATTAGGCGTGTGTAGCTTTAAATAAAGTAATGTGATTTAATCAAATAAAAGCAATTATTATTCAATCCTTGAAAATATGTTTTTTTATTTTTTCCTTATTTGATATTCTTGGATTTGACATGGTCTGATCTGATTTGATTGGATCTAATCTGATCTGATTAGATTTGATCTAATTGGATCTGATATGATCTGATTAGATATGGTCTAATATGATGAGATCTGATCTGATTAAATCTGATCTGAACTGATTTTAATAAGAATACGTAATAAGTAAAAAAATAAGCCCCACGGAACGGACCCTCAGTCGTCAACCCCACTTCCCCACCGCCTCGTTGACAAGTTTCTTTTTATTTAATAGTTTTATGTTTAATTATTTGTTTTTTTCGAAAGAACATTTAATTATTTGTTGAGTAATTGTTACTTTGTATTTTGTTTAGAGTTTGAAGAGATGATTCTTAAAGAGTATTTGTTAAATTTGTATGGATAATAATTTTTTTTTGAAAGAACGGAGTAATAAATTGATTTGTGTTGAATTAATGATTTAATATGGACACTTCATGGTCGGAATTGGAAACTCCTCCGGCAACTACCGCCATCCTCAAGGCTCGTGCGCCAGTCCCAATTTGTTCTATGTTAAATGAAAATGTTTAAGATTTGTATTGCAACTTAAAAGATTTGAAATTTAAAAATAATCTTTTATCATTTTATATTGCATTTTTAAAAAAATCTCATACGCTGTCCCCACACCCCGTTGGGTGCCCCCGAGGCTCTGCCACTGCAACATGTTATGCTGAAATATGTGTTGGAAGCAATTAAATCTAGCAAACACATGAGCCAAAATATTCTCACATCTACGAATAAAATGAAATTCGATATGCCTAAATGAAGAAATAAGAGTAAAGCAAGTGTCCAAAATTGAGCCCACGTAGGACACCACGGAAGAGGCATCCCTTTGTTGTAATACTTGAACCAATTTGAGATTATCTAAGGAGAGCACCACCGCATCAACGCCCATGTTTTTTAGCTTGGAAAGAGCCTCCCTACAAGCCACAACTTCAGCCATAAAGGGATCAAAATCGCTATGTTGTGTATATGCTTTTGTTGTTAGAGACGTTAGAGGATGAAGAAACTAAAAGTGAAATAGCTCGTATGTGACCCGATTTTTACGTGAACTTATTTGAGTGCGTATGCAAGTGTTCAACGATTGGCACCATGAGTGCCTTAGGAAGGTAATATACATAATCATGATGCCAATCGTTGAACACCTACATACGCACTTAAATAAGTTCACTTAAAAATCAGGCCACATGCGAGCTATTTCACTTTCAGTTTCTTCATTCTCGAGCATCTGCAACAAAAAAAAACATATCCACAACAAATACTTGAGAAAACAAACACAGACAACTACAACAATACATTTTCAGGATTGACATCAACGTCGTCTCACATAGTGCAACACTTCATGTAATGGACTAACCAGATTTAATCGCTTCCAAGAGGTTTAATTTGTAGTAGTGTTATTAATAAGAAAGATTAATTAGCAATTGAAATGTAATTGAATTTAGATTTCAATTATTCATCATTAATAAGAGAGATTAATTAAGAATTGAAATGTAATCAAATTCATATTTCACTTTATTAGATAGGTATATATTTTTAATGCGTAGTCATACCAATAATAAAATTTTATAAATCTTCTCTTCGAATTTATGAGTTTCTTCTGCTCTGTGCCTCGAGAGAAAATCTCTCTCCGTCGTCTCCGCCGTCCACCTCCTTGCCGGCACGCTCCGGCCGGTAGTGCCCGGTGACGGGGTCGGGCACCCAAGAGATCTCGTTTCTGCTCGCCGCTTCTCCGCCTCTCTCCACCACCGCGCTTCCTCTTCCCCCGCCGGAAACCGCGCCCTGGGCCGCCGCCGCCGCGTATCGCCGGCTGATTACGGCGGAGACCCTGTCAGCCACGGAGGAGATGAGCTTCGAGCTGGAGATGGAGCGAGCCATAGATCTGAAAAGGCCAAAACACTCACTCGCAGAAACAAATAAAAAATAATTAGACGCTAATTAATGAGGGGAGTAGAGAGAGTGTTTATTGGAGAGAAGGAAACGGCAATGGTCATATTTATAGGATAGCGCCGGCCAAACAGCACTTTTTCGACGAAAGGACGGACTCTGTGACTTTGACCACCACGCGTCGACCACCAATTTACCAGCTGTACAAATTCAAAGAAAAAAAATGAAAACTGAGATGGGTTAAATTAGATTTTAATCATAAATTAGTAGCGGAGAGTGGAGTCTGTACTTGTAATTGCAGAGGCTTTATGCTTGGCGTAATTGCCTCCCAGTGCAGTTGTCAGACATCGAACTCGGGTTTAGCCTTAGATTTTTTTTAAAAAAAATTATCTCCATTCCCGAGAGAAAAATACAAATACTACGATCTCTCAAGTATAATCCTTCCCAAGGACTTCAACAGACACGATTGAACGGTCACTGAAAAAAGTTAAATTAAACTTTGATGACAAATTGATGAAAAAAAGTTAAATAAGACTTTAACATACATCTTTTAAGAATGATCTGTTATTTTAGGACCATTGAAGGCGGAATGATTGGCTCACTTAGTTTGAAAATTATCAAATAGATATTAGATTGAAATCGAGTTATGAAAACTAAAAAAACAAAAATAATTTTGAACATAACAATAATTGAAGGGGAAAGGAGTTAATGAAAAATTGAGAGCAAGCTGTTATGTGGGAAAGGCACAACTTAGGCCACCAAAGCACGTTGTTCATGTTTTGTTTTGTTGCACCAAACAAGCAAATGGAGTTTTTAATCTTCCATTTCTTTAATATCAATTATAAGTTTATTTATAAAAGAAAAGAACTTCTTGATAATAATAGTAAAAAAAATACAGAGCATGATTAAAATACAAAAAAGAGAGAGTAAACAATATTGTTATTTCTGGCGTTTATCTGAGTTTAAAAAGAGTTGAGATCCTATTTTATTAATTTGCCAAATGTTATATTCTTATGAAGAAATAAACAAATTCTTTTCAAACACATGTAATAGATGAGCTGTTTGGCTAATGGTTTTGCAAAACTTATTCAAAGGACTACCAAACTTTTCTCCCCCACATGGAGTGTGTGGTCTAATTTACATACAGAAGATATCCATAGTGATGACCTCTTCCCAATGTGTTATGCCCTGCCAATAATTTAGTTTTGGAATGTGTGTAGCTTGAGCTTGGACTTTTTTTTCTAAAAAAGATATTGTGCCCCACCTCTCTCTATTTGAGTGGTCACATAGGATACTGGACACGTACGACGTTCCATTCGTAAAATTGATAGTTCATATTCCTGTAACCCTTTACCGAGTTCCGGCGCCAACCCATACCCTATTTCATTTGCAGGGTGCCAGTTTAGTTTCAAAAATTTACCCAGTAATTGATATGGGTAAGAGGATGTGTTGGGGTCGAGACGGAGTGTGGTGTTGGGGGGTAGGAATTAAATAACTATCAATTTTGCGTACGAAACATTGTAGGTGCCCTATTTCGCCCAATTTCCTCTGCGGCCACTAAAAGAGAGTGGCCGTGGAACAGAGTGGTCTAATTAATATATCTTTTTTATTTTGTCCATTACATTCTCGAAACTAAAACATTGGCAATGATTATTCTTCTAGCTCCATTAGCAGGGCGCTTGAGATGATGTACAATATTTGAAAATAAACAAGCACATACACATACACAGTCTTATAGACCTTTGAATATTTATAACACTGACCAAGCATCGCTAAAAGCAAGGCAACACCATGTTAGCCTGAAACGGCGGGGCACTTTTCTTTCGGATGCTTGGAGCTGTAGTGATCCGGGAGTTGATTCTTGTTAGCCAGCTGCACCTAAAAAAACATCATCTTGAATGAGAATCGTCGTCATTGTCACCTCACCTCGATAGAAAGAAAGAAAAAATGGAGCTTGAAGTGTGATTGTGGCCTTGTGGGACTTAATGAGAGTAGATTTTAAATCATATAAGACACGCAAACTGCTCTTTTTCGTAAAGAAAATTGTTTGGCAACATTCGTTCCACCAAATAAGTAAAAAAGCTATATACTCCGTACTCATTAAAGAGCATAATGAGCCAATTTGCTATCAAACAGAGAAATATTACATTGGCAGACAGCATAAGCAATTAAGCATAACATCCAAATATTACATTTGGTAGCATCCATTTTAACAAATAAGTAAAAAGCTACATGCTCATTAATGAGAATAATAAGCGCTTTTTGCTACCAAATGGAGCCATATCACAGCAGTATACCAGTTTCTTGCACATTTGTATGAGATCAAGCTCGGTATAACATCTAGGGATTGCTACATGATTGCTACATATACTCCCTTTGTACCTCACCCCCCACCCCCCGAAAAAAGGTCTAGCTTGTAATTATATTACAAAATAGGGCCTTTTTCCTTTGGGACCGAAGTAGTTTTGAAATTTTGAGTGGTAGGAAGCCACTCCCAAGATTCATGAGGAAGTTTACCCAGGTTTTGTCCACGCCAGGCATGTTCTCTAAGTTTACCCATTGTAATCAAGTCAATAGCACTCAAAAAATATATATAAATCTTTAGCACTCAAGGTAATAATGGCGAAGTACTCCATAATATTTTCAAAACTAGCCTAAAAAAATCATCCCAGTTGTTACGGAACAGCTGTAGTAAACTACGGAGTATTAGATATTAAAAATAAGAATATATCTCAAATTGATTAAATGCTACGTCATTGAGAAGTATAAGGCTATCAGCTCCAGGAAACTTAACTCTCTACCGGTGGTACATTTAGCTTAGGTTTGCTATCGCGTTGAAAATGCCAAAAAAAACCACTTTCTTTGCCCGTCAAATCTATTTCCTCTTCCTCATATATATTAACCTCATAGTTTGTTACCATTATTCCATTAAGTTCCTAAAATGCACAAAAATCACTTATTGCACGTCATAGTGCCATGCTTTACACGATTTACCCTATTGAATGTTTGATGAATGATATATAACAACTGCATTTATAATTTTTATCCCCTTTTCCTCTGTTTTAAAATTAAGATGACAATCATACACTATATTAATCAAAGTGTGAATGTTAGATGAACAAATATCAGAATTCTTTCCCTTCAAGCCAACTTAAAGAACATGATAGATTCTCTCTGAAATCAAGCTTGATGATCACAGAATTATCAAAAGTGACAACTAAAAAACTTGGGAGAAGAAATACTCAGTATGATCGGAAAACTCTAAGGGTCCGTTTGGTACATGGAATCGACGGAATTGGAATTAAATTAAAAGTTGAAATTTTAAGAAACTGGTTTGTAAAGAATTGAATTTTCCAATTTCAATTCATTTTTGGCACTACCAATTCCAAATCCACATATTTGTTGTGCTACCAAACAGCATAATTGAAATTATTGTCGCGGATTCCAATTCCATAATTTGAATTCCGTGTACCAAACAGAGCCTAACAATCTTTCGTATGATCGTTTGAGCATAATAAACCGCAACAAATTAATTTGAATCTTGGACCACAGATTCCAGCAGCCAAGCAGATTATCATGAGCTCAAACAGACGCTCGATTTTATGTTGAAATCCAATGAAACAGTATACGATCAAAAACACATAAATCGAATAAAAACATCGCCAGATTTAACGAGATTATAGCAAAACAAGAATTGGGTATAATACTTTACAGATGGAGCAGGTGACTGTGAGGCCGACAGCTCGGGCCTCGAGCTGAGATCCTTTGGACTTCTGATTCTTCTCGGCATTCTTTCGCTGAGCTTCGATCTTTTGCTTTCCCCTCGTCATCTCTCTCTATTCTGGTTTGGAATTCACAGAGGCTGTGGCGGATTTTGAAGAAGACGATTGGGAGATTTGGGTTGGTCAGGATCACGCCCAGTAGTAGAAATGGGTCGGGTACCCGACCTGACAATCACGTCAGTCGGTATTGGGTCTTTGAGTTGGGTATTTTGGCTTGATCCATTCGGCATTGGGTCTAACAAATCCATAATATTCTCCAAGTTGGAATTCGGATCCATCTAGAGTACAGACTCTTTTCGATCTCACAGGATGTTTGTCAAAAATTATTTTTAATATAATGCATTTGAATGTTGGGTTGAAATTTAAAAACTAAATTTAAATATCTTAAAATTAAATAAAAAAATCTACTCCATCTGCTCAAAAATTATTTTCTCATTTACTATTTACATGGTCAAACTTTATTAATTTGTTAACCTATTTTTGTTGCCTATTTAATATTATAATATAGTCATGTCACCTCTAGTTTTGAAAATCTTATGATTTATTATTCAATTCCACTATATTTTTCATATAAACGATTTAAAAATAACTCTACTTAAACATCGTAATGCGCAACGGAAAGATAATTTCTGGATGAAATACGAAACAAGAAGTGACAAATCTATACTCCGTATTATTTTATCAAATAAGTAACAAATATAAAGATAGAACATGAATGAAGTTAGACATTGTAAATAGTAAATAGATAATTTAATTTGAGACGAAAGTGACAATATGCCATGAAAAATATGATACATTAATTCATTCACAACAAATGACTACATTTTTTTTTAAAAACAACAAATGACAAGTTTTTGAACAAACACATGAGAGAGTGATCTTCACCAATTTGGTTTTTGTAATGTCACACATCCTTTGACTTGGCCACTCTAAGAAAAGAGTTTGTGAAAAGAGAGAGAACATTCTGCAGTGTTCTTCCCATAAAACTGGAACCAGAAGACTCTTCTTTATGCACACTGCTAATCAGCCATTGGTAGTCTGAGAGTGCCTTGTCCGACAACGGCTCTAGAAACTCACATCTCGACAAGATCTCCGGCGGAGGGACACCGGAAGCAGTGAGGTTAGTGTCAAGTTTCGGCCTCCTCTTTCCGAGCCCTTCCTCTTCTTCTTCTTCTAAGACCGGCGTTGGGGTTTCAAGTCTCCGTGGAGTTGCACCGGGTATGACCCCTTTATTGAAGGGCGACTGTCTCTCGGACTGTAAACAGAAGTCTATCCACTGGTGCACTAGCGGCGAGGGCCCTCTCACTCTTCCCCCAAGTTCATCTGATGATGCAAGTCTTGTTGCCGCCGGTATTGCCTGAGTGAGAAGATGAGTGAGACTATACAACAACAACCACAACAACGACAAACTTCGTAAAATCCCACAAAAGTCCCCTACTAAACAACAATGGTTGTTTTCAAGAGACCTCTGGCTTGAACACAATAATATGGACAAAGAAAACACAGACGCAATTAAAGTACAAGCTAAGACAAAAAAACACACCATGATAAACTAAAAACTAAGGCCCAGAGGTCTACCCATGGTCTCTAATCCGAGATCTTCAAACATTACAATATAAAGACAAATCCTCGGTAGAATCCTAGAGTCGTAAGTCCAGTCTCATGATCTCATCAACTCATTTCAATTCTTCCAAGTTTCAAAGAATGAGGGGGGCGAGGGGAAGAGAGACATTACCCAGAAATCAGCCCACAAACTTGCGCCGGATTTTGGAACAATTACTGCAACATTTGAAATCCGCCTTGCAGCAGGAATCACATCGCTACTCCATCCAACGGCTACCCATACATCTTCCACACCAAAGGCTTTAAGATAGTTTCTACTGTCAAATAGCCGAACCTGGGGAAAACACACACACACATCATGAATTCATGATCATAGTCGATTAATATAGGCATCCTACTTTTACACATATGGTATGCTAAAACCCCCATTTGGCACCTTTGTTTTTTTTTACCTAATTTGGGGTTTAGCCTACATATTACTCCCTTCGTCACACAAAATCTTTTTACTTTTCCATTCTAGATGTGCCCAAAAAACTCCCAAGTTCATTTCCTTTTAAAGAAATGAAAATGTGGCTCACAAAATTTCTTTCTCATCTATACAAATTCCAACCACATTTTTCACTTTTCAACACTTCTCTTAAACTCTGTAGTGTCAAACCAGGAAGTATTTTTATGGGATGGATGGAGTATGTTTTTTTAAAAAATACAATATGGATCCATTTGGTAAGTTTGTTTTTCTTCAATTTATGGCACACCTAACCTCTTTCATTGCCAGATACATTACCTGTTTAACTAGTGATGCAAGGTTCTGCTGAACAGCATTTCGCCCACCTGTAACCTCAGAGTCCAAATCTTTAGTGTTATAAGATACACCCATATATTTCAAAACTGCGCCAATTATTTCCCGTGGTGAATCAACCATAGAAATCCTTCCTGCAAGCTCAGGCCGCCACAAATCATCCCAGTCCTGTGATATAACTTATAAATTACCCACTTTTTACTCAAAGAACGGCACAAAGGACAAACAATAAAACCATATGTACAACAGTACAATCACTGCATTTTTTACCTTATAGTATATGTTATATCAATGCTAGATCTTCTTACCTCTACTCCAAGGAGTAGGAAAGGATACATAAAACAAAAATTCTATAGATAATCTGAGACCCCAAAGATCACTTACATTAATAGGAGCTAAGTTATGCTTGCGAAATTCTCTTTTCTTGTAAACTATTACGACGCTTCCCCACCTGAAGGGAGCAGACCATATCTTCCCCTGAGAATCTAGTCTCCCATCACTACTCCTTCGTAAATACGCCTGTCATTCATCATATCAATGAGAACTGTCTAAGGGACGAGTAAAAAAATGCAATGTACCATTATATTGAAATGAGGTTTGAAATGAAAAAAGAGGAGACCGGATATTCATTGGTTTCAAGTTAGTATTCACACCCAAATATATTTAAACGCATTTGATACTTAGGCGCGATTATTTTAGGTTGGAAAAATTAACTTCCAACTTTTTCCAACTTCCAGTCCCTTCCAACTCCTAGTTTCTTCCAATGACTCAAAAAAGATACTTATATACAATGAATATATAATAACATTATATATCCAAATTTATAACATACCACCTCAAACACGAACAAGAATGAATTCTTTTTTATCCAAAATTAGAGTTTCCTTACATATTTATTTGGTGTGACCATTTAATTGAGTGACTTTTTAACACTTTAATTCTTCCAACATTTTCCAATGCCTTCCAGCTTTTTCCAACTCCTTCCAATTTCTTCCAACATCCAACTCTCAAATTCCAACCCAAAAGAACAGGTCCTTAATGACTAATTTGTAGCATATTTTCCAGCATAGAATCAGGCCATGAAGACGTCAACAGATTAGGGACAGGCGAGGGATGGAAGACACAAATAATGTTTCATTCAATAACAAACAACAACAAAGCTCACCTTCCATTTGTCACTTAACCTATTAATAAACCATTCTTGGTCTTCTACCCCTTGCATTGGTTCAATTAAGCCATGCTTAATTGAAAAAGTAAGCCATGCATCACCAAGAGCTATGACATCAGCTACCACTGCAGATTTTTTATTAACAACTCCTTTCTCGAATGCTATACGAAGTTCATGAAAAATATCTTGACAGCTATGCCAAAACTCTGGACATATTTTCACTTTCCTCCCTTGAGCATGCAGAAAGTCCTACAAGCTTCAAAAGATTATAGCATCATTCAATCTACAAGAAAAGTGGATCAATTTGTATTTTGTAAAATGATAGCTATTGGAGAAAAATAGATGGGAAATATGCAACAACAACAGCCCACTTCAATCCCACAAGAGTAAGATCTGGAGAGGGTGCGCGTAACCTTAACCCTACTCAAAAGTAGATTGTGTCCGAGAGACCCTGGCTTGAGTAACACAGAGAGCACAAAAAGATGAGAAATATGCAAGGAAAAATAAAACATTGGTTTAAACTCAAGAAATCAATTCTAGATATTTTTCAACCTCATTTCTATTTTTATATTTCTATAACATAAAGATTAATAAATCTAAATATATTAAAATGAAAAGTTCTAATAAAAACTGATTATTTTACAACTTAGAATCACACACAAAATGCCACTTCTTTGGAGCACTTTTTCCCTTTGCCATTTGTGGGTTTCAAACACAGCTTAACAAAAGCGAAATCATATACTTGTATTTTTAAAAAACAAAACCCACAAATACCAAATATGAACTTCATTATTTCTTCCATAGAGGCCAAAGGCAAAAGCTTGATCCAAGCAACTGATAGTGAATAGATAAATAAATAAAATGTACATAACATACTTTGATCCATATAGGAGGAAATGAGTTGTTAAAGGAAACGATTCTTAGAGGAACTGTCAAAGCATATGTCTTGGTCTTCCATTTCTCAAATGCAGCTTGAAGCTCTTCATCTTCAAAATCAACCACATCTGTCGTTTGTCTCCCTTCACCATTGTCTGCAATTATATTATAATACAACTCACTTGACGAACACATCAATGAACTATCAAAACCCACTTGCTTTTTCACTCTTACATTTCCAATTCATTTACTCACAACTCCATGCTGTCGGATTAAAGTTCATCACTACATTTATCTAGGTTAACCTAATAACTAACTATCAAAAGTCCAAACTGAAAATTTGTACATGCCCCCGGGTTCAAGTAGTTTCTAGTAAACCTAATTCCAATCAAGTTCACCTCTTTTACTTTAAATTCACCCAACCCATCAGAGAATTAGAACACTCTAGTGCTTCCAGCATTCAAATTACACAGGGAGAGACAATATGTTGTTACGGCTTTCGCAAGTAATCTTTGTAATCTAAACCTCTCTTCATTCATAATTTCAGGGGGGGGAGAGAATAATGCAAGAAAAGATTGAAAATGCAAACCTTGGGGTTCAGTGTCTAGAGGATGGGCCTCTGATGAAGTGAGAGGAGGAGCAACTGCGGGGCAAGCGGAGGCGCGAAAGGTGAAACCAAGACCTAAGAAGAGAACAGAGGAAGCTACAAGTTGCCGGAAAATGTCGCCGGGGGTCACCGCCGCCGCGGCAGGTAGATTCAAGTTGCGGTGGACCGAGGGATAACTGATATGGTTGTTGTTAGCAAAGATGGTTAAACTCTTGGTGAATCGGAGATGGTGGGAATTGCCGAGGCTGAGAAACCTGAAGCTGCGATCGGCGCTGTTCGGTTGATGGCGGAGTAGATTCGGAGCGGCGGAGGTGAGGGAAAGCACCATTTTCCCTTAAATTTTTTATTTCAGTTTTATTTAAAGATTAATATAAAAATATAAAATAAAATTGGCACATTAAGAAAAACATAAAAAATTCTACAAAATAAAATGTAATAAAAAATTCTACAAAATAAAATGTACTCCCTCCGCCCCCCTAAGATGTTCTCATTTTGACTTTTGGTGATTTTTAAGGAGAGTTGAAAAAGGTGAAAGTTTACCATAATATCCTTAATGAAAAATGAGTGGAGTGTATTAAATGAGGTGGGTGAGGTGTAATAAATAAAGTAAGTGTGGGTAGTTATGATATTTTAATTGTTAAAAAGTGAAATGAAAAGATATATTGTGGACAAAGAAAAAGAACTATTGAGAAGATCTATGAGGGACGGAAGGAGTAATAAGAATGGAGGGCACAAATGATCCGATGTCATATTATCGCATCGAAAATGGGTGTCATAAGATCTTTGTTCATTAATGTAACGGAGAGATAAATTATATGAACCATAATTATTTTTTTAATAGCAATGTTAATTTTATTTAGGATGTCTCATTAAACAAAATGAGAATTTATTTCGAAATGAATGTGGTTTTTTTATCTACATTTTATTCTCTATAATACTCTATATTTCCAGTAGATTAAAATTAATCATAAAATAAAATCTTACTACTATATATATACATTTGAGAATTTCACACAAGTAAATACACAACAAAAAACAAAAAAAAAGCAGGTCTCCACTGGATATTTATTTACTTGTTGGGAAGAAAAGATCAATCATATACTCCATCTATCCCAAAAATTACATTTCCCGCCCTTATCATTTTTCGTCTGCTAAAAAATTATGTCACGTTTTCTTTTAACGAAAGGGATGCGAAGTTCATATTATTTCTCTTTCTTCTTTCGTCTTCGTGGTCCCCGTGTCCGGTCAAAGTGGGGCCAAGGGCTTGTTCTGTCTTTTCCACATAAGCTGAGGGAAACCAACCAGCTTTCCCATTGCATTCTCCTTCAGACCATCCATGAGGGGCTACCTATATTATTATTATATCATCATAGTCCCCAGATGATAAACCAAAAAACAAAGTTATAATCAAGGCTAAAAATACAAGAATAAAATTTGCTGATGCATCCCTTAAGTTTGGGCTATTTCGCGAAACGAAGCTCTATGTGTAAGCTTCTTGAAATAAACCCTAGTAAAACACCTCGGAAAATGCGACTTCAATACACGAAGGTTGCCACCTTTAGAGACAACAATCGCAAACAGACAGTTATTGTGTGTGAGACTGTGAGATAGTAGCGGTGTTAATCTTGGTGTCATCCATGTTGTGACTCACATAGCTTACAGGGTGATTAACTACGTCGACAAGTTTATTCGATCAGTTAACATTCATAGAGGGTCATTTTGAGAAATACCATGAACCTAAGGGTTATAGCATGAAACTCCTAAATTGTTTGGCCTATCAGTGTGATTTTTATTTAAGAAATGGGCATAGGAGATGATCATTTTGAGAAATACATATCAAACCTAAAGATTACGTCGAGAAATAATCACCCAAAACAAAATGTACTGGTAAAATACAAAACTATAATATAACCAACATTTTTATTTTTGCTAATTGGGAAATTATTTTTCCCAAAGGGAGTGAATTTCTTTCTTTGTTTGTGTGTGCACGTAGTATGTACCTGACGAACGACAACATAATCATCAACTTCAAGATTCAGCTCCCCATCTGCTTGAGCATCAAATGAGTGTAAAACCTTGCATGGGAAAGAGAGAGTAACGATTCATAAAAGAGAATGGAAAGAGAGAAAGCTCGACTTTAGTCAATTCTGTTGGATCATAAAAAAACATTCTTGGGTCTTCAATCACAAAGTTGAGCTTCTGGTCGAATTGGTTCTTTAACATCATATCAGAGCGTGTTTGAGAAAATGGACCCCACCTACAAGTGGCGGAGCGTGTTTGAGTAAAAAAAAAGTAATGGGCATTCAACCACAAACCACAAGCTTCATAAGCTTGAGCTTATGGTGGAGTTCGATCATTAACAAATTCACAAAGAAGAAAAGGACTTATCCATAAAAACAAGAAAATAAGAAGAAAAAAAAAGTCCTTACCTTTGCCATAAAAAAATCACAACTTTTGACATTAAATTGTTGATGGGCAGATCCATTTGAAGTAGTTGTATCATCAAGTGTCTCTTTTTTCCGAGTTGATGATGACGATTGCATCAAAGACTCATTTAGCCCTTCTTCTTCTGTCCTCATCTATAGCTCCAGCCATGAAAATTTCTTTAGTACTAGAAGAAGATCTAAAGGGTATATTGGTCAGAAGCTTTTGGGGCAAAACAAGAAGTAGGGAAGCAAACCTCTGAATGAAGTTTCTCCAATAGAGAGACGACGTTTCGGTGATAAGATTTTTCAGCATCCACCTGACAGCTGAAACCACAGTAAGATACATACAATAATGACACAATAAATTCCAACTTATAGTCTTATTGTTTAACACTATGTTTTGTTCAAGGAATTTGGAAGGAAAAGAGAAGATAATGGTTTTCTCTCATTTTCCTCACCAAACTGGGAGAAATTTGGTTTTCCCTTATCTTAGTACATTTTGTCTTCTCATTTTCTTTTCCTCCCATTTTCTTTTTCTTTTCCTCTCTAACCAAACATAGTGTAACTATCCCACATCGGAAAATCAGATGAAGAATAACGGGTAAATAATGTCTTGAGTAAATTTAAATACTTCGTAATATAAAAAAAGAACACGGTATTTGTTGCATTTACTCCTTTTCTCAAATACAGAATTTTTAATTGTTCTTTAAAATGAAAAATGTGGTTTTTAAGATGGCAATAATTGATCTTGTAATAAAATGACAAACATAACCCTATTGGAAGCAGCTACTCCCTTTCGGGATGCACAAGTTGATGTATTGTTGCTTATTTATTAATGACCAAAAAAAAGGAAATACCATTTTAAGTAACTTGTCATAAGTTGTTTGTTGCTGCTTCTCCTCAACAGCCAGCAAGGCATCAACGGCTTCCTTACCAATAACCAACATTGAGGCTTTAAGCTCACTCAATCTTGCTTCTGCATTCTTGAGCTTCCCTAAACTCTCTGAAGAAGCGTCTCTAAACTTTGTTTGGCGTCTTATTACTTCAGCAGCCTGAAAGAGACATGTTTCACAACGGTACGAGCTTTAAGTTTTAGTAAGGTAGGATTCTTGGGGATCTTTCTCTTTCAAATGAATTCCAACAACACATTTTTCACTTTTCAACCTCCTTTTTCTTTAACTATGTACCCCGTCAAGATGAACATTTGATTTGGGACAGAGAGAATACTTAAATGAAGGTTTGGGAAGTTAATGCAATGCATCAAGGGTATAATGGTAACAACCTCTTGTTTTTTTTACAGGGGTATGGTTGAGTCCATATCGACTGCCAGATCCCAATGGAATGGGCTTTAAATTTATGATCCCCCCCCAAATAAATAAATAAATAAATTATGGAGTATAATTCAATACAGCGGAGTAATTTGTTTTAGCCAAGAACATATATTACCTGGGATTCAAGCTCTTGGCGCATTCTATCATAACGGCGAGTCAAATGACGAGCATCCACTAAAGGAGCACCACCTATTGACGCCCGAAGCGGATCAGAAACCTATTTGGAAGTTCATCATCATCATCATCATTAGAAGCACACAATTATTGTGAAGTAAACATAACCTTTTTCGGGGCGAGTTAGATCCAAATGAAAGAGTCAAGAATTTGTCAAGGAAATATATATCATATATGAAAATGATTTTTGTGGCTTACAATCTTTCTCCCTCCTCTACATCACTATCAACCACACAATTTTACTTTTCTTAAACTTTGTGCCAAACCAAATAAATAACCTTGTTCTCGAAAAAATAAAGAACCTTATTTTGGGACGGAGAGAGTATTATTTTGTGTATATTGTTCCTTATGGTAGTAATTGTATAGGTTTTTGTTTCCTTGTAAGTTTGATTTACATATAGAGTTCATAACTTGTGGTTTCCTATATATATTGGCCTACTCTCTATGTATTGATACAACAATGACTAGTCAATAAAGACTTAGAGAAGCCAAAATATAACTTAACTAACCTGTTCTCCGAGAATGGCGAGCATAATTTCCCTTTGGTCTTCCATTGAAGCAAGTGAAACACCAAAGTTAGAAGTAGCCCTTGCAAGAGGAGGAGCGTCACTAGCATTCTCAATCCCATATTTGCAACAATCCTCGCCCAACTTTCTAACTACATGCATGATTCAAGTTTGAAACATTTATGGCATTAGCAATTTTGTATACTCCGTAATTGCTTTCTCGTTAAGGATCTAAAATGCCTTTTTTAAAGCACCAACCGATCTACAGCTTTTTTAAATACGCATTAAAAGCGCCCATTTGTCCCGTGAGAAACATTTCTTTTTTCCATTTTTTGCCCACGCGCTTCTTTTTTTAAGGAAATGTATGTTTCTTACTATGAAAAGCAGTTATTACTTGAACTTTAGTTGTCTTAAGTGAAGCCTATATGGCTTTCATTTAATTAACACAAGATAATAATATAAGGCAACAAATCCACATACCTATTTGCATTTGTTTTTTGTTGGTTGAGATATATCCGTCCATCCCACGAACGATATCCCTCTGGAAATGCTGCAGAACATGGCAACACAGATGAAAAAACTTCTTCAACTAACAACAAGTAAAATCCCACAAAAAAAAAGTAGGGTCTGAGGAGGGTGTGAACACAGACCTTACCCCTACTCAAACAATAAAAAACCACAAAGTAAACAAAGTAGCATGAACAAAGAGAAAATTGATTTAAAAAAAAAAGATTAATTCAAAAGAAATTGGAAGAGAAAGTCTAATTTACCTTTGCATCCCTGGTGGATCTGTATAGTTTCTCAAGTTGTTGATGACACTGTAGTTCGGACTCATCTACCATTACAGCTTCATGCCCCAACTGTCCCAAGTGCTTCAGGATTGTCTAGCAAAAAATGGTCATGGAGTTTTACACTATGTTTGGTTCAAGGAATTTGAAAGTGAAAAGAAAAGAAAAGAGAAGTGGAAGGAAAAGAAAATGAGAAGGCCAAATGAACTAAGAGGAGGGAAAGAAAATTCTTTCCATTTAGGTGAGGAAAATGAGAGAAAACATTTTTTCTTGACTATTCAGTTGGAGATTCGTTGGGAGGAATCCTGGCTAAAGGATTTTGTACTCCGCTACAACAACGGAGTTGAGACTTGATTGTAGGCTTCTTCCGAAGGGCCATGAAGTGACACTTTCTCGGCTGAAAGTGTTGAATATAAGTCAGTTGAGGTTTGGAGCTTATGCAAATTTATAATATGCAAAAGTTCTAAATCTCAGTCGACTTATATTCAATACTTTCAACTAATAAAAGATCTCTTCGCGGACCTCCAAGAGAGGCAGACAAACAAGTCTCAACCCCATCAACTCCTTCACTAGAATTCTATGTAAAATTGATGGCAGAAATTTGTATCCATTTATTTTCCACGAAATTTGAAGTGTAAAAGCATTCACATCATTTGCAAGTAGCAAAAAGCCAAGTATATGTGAAATAAGGTTGCTAGGGAGTTCACTAATGAAGTCTTTGGCCAAGTCAAGTCCGGCCATTAGAGGTTCGCAAACTAGTAATGCGAAAGAGGATACAGTTTAGATGGATCCATTTGGAGGGCTAGGAAAAGATTTTATACTCTACCAAAGTATCAAATCTCCATTCTTCACAAAAACCCATTCTCCTAAATAAATCTATCTGCAATTCATTCATGTATTGACAGCCCTACAGAGATCCATTCAAAAAAAGGGGTTTTACAGAATCGAATCAAAACTTAGACTAGAGGCATTTCAAGCTTCCAAGAAAGAAACTTTTTATCAAAAAACAAGAAAAGAATAGAAAAAGATTTGATTTTTACCTGCTGCTGCTTGGCAACTTGCTCTCTGAGTTTGGCTGCTTGTTTCCTCATACTTTCCATTCTTCACTGTTAAGTTCTTGCTTAAAACTCAAACACCCTCTCAATCTGGGTGGGATTTGCTGGTTAAGAAAACTGAAAGGCACTTTTTAGTCTCTCACAAATCTGAGGGCGAGAATCTTTTGCCTACTTGACTTGTTTTTATCAGGGAAAGTCAGGCACGGTTAGAAAATTCTAATTTCTAACCCATTTTCCTTTGAAGAAGACAGTGCGGAAGGCGGCAATGGTTACCCCGGTTCATGGATTCCTTCTCTTTAGCATTCTTATATCATTAAAATAAGTTTTAATTTAAGTGAAATTTGAACTAAATAGGACTAAAACATAAGTCATTTTCTAATGTAGAATTTAAATTTTTTTATTCCTTAAATAGGACTTAATAATGTGAGGAATAATGTCCAGTAATAATGAACTTTTAATTGAATAATGACCAAAGGTCTTACACTAGGAAATAAAAACATATGATCCTATATTGGGAAAATCGTTATGTTTTAGTCCTTTTTACGAAGTAAGTAAATTTCTCTTGATTTAATATGGTTTGATTTTATTGTAGTTATGTTTAAACTTGTTACTGATCTAATCTGCTCAAGTTTGAACTCATTCAAATAAGAATAAATAATAAAAAATAAGTTGAAGTAAACAAGCCCATCATTCCCTTTATTTTAGCTTTATTCCACTATATTTCTTTTTTCTTTATTTTGATTATTTAAATTACAATAAATAAAATTTGATAATAAATTATACAAAAATTGTATTACTTTGTACTCTTTCCGTCTCACAATGTTTGTTACTGTTACTATTATAACTTCTCGATAATTTTTATATGTTCATATATTTCTATTGGTCATTTGGTAAAATAAAATAATCTTGTCAGATTTTATTTCATAAGTTTTTATGTACTTTCGAACAATTTATTTTTGAGTTTTTTAAAAATTTGTATGTTTAATAATTTTAAAAATGATGAAGTTTTATACATTGTTCATGGAGTGACAAAGTATATATCTGCGCACATCGTTCTCATTTGTGCAAATATATTTTAAGAAATCACCATAAATAAAAGTAAATATACAAAAAGTACTAAAATAGAAACTTCATGTTTTATCTCCAAATTAGAAAATTGCACTGTGATAATATGACACTGTATATGAACATTTTATAATACTTTTTGGTATTATATATTGGCATTATTGGCATTGTGTATGCAATTTAACTCACATTTTGAGAATAAATACATGAAACTCCTATTTTAATATATTTTTATATTTACTCATACTTTACTCGTTTTTCCATATACTTTGTCGATATTCGATGTATATTTATACATATCCACATCATTCCCATCCAAGTAGATATGTTTTTGATAGTTATTTGATTGTTTAATCAAATATGGAATCTATATCAGGGTGTTGCTATATATTCACTTTCATTTTAGCTATATCTTTGGTTCATACATTAAAGTGACAATTTTAATCTTAAAAATACAAAAGATATAATTTGGATGCAAGCCAACTTTAAAGAAGAGAATTATTCGTTTAACATAAAAGGAATGTATTTAGATCTAGCAATGTTTGTCACTATAACATTCGTTTATTTCTAGATAAACTGTTATTTAGTGCATCTTATTTCTAGAAAATGTGTAAAATTTTATCATTTTTCACATTGTGCGGAGAGTTTGATAATTATTTCATTGATCTCAGAGTATTTATCCAGATTTGAATTTTTGCAGTCAGCTAAGATTAACCTTTCGTCATGTAATTAAATAACAAGTACATAGTATTATATACTCCGTATTAATTAGATAAAACAATACAAAGTATTTTGAAAATATTTTACAAAATAAATCCAATACAATTATTTTGTATCAATATATAATATTATATTCCATATCAATTTGATTTAATTTATAATTAAAAACATTAATTTTAAGTACAAAAAGTCAAAAATATTATCTAATCTGAGATGGAAGTAGTAACTGTGAATCTAAAATTACATCGAATATCCAGAAAAGGAATAAATGAACATTAAGAAAAGTTAGGTACCCATACAAGTTTTAATACTCCCTTTGTCCTACTACTCGGTATTTATGTTAATTTTTGTTTTTTTATACTCCTTCCCTCGTGAAATTATATTCTTGATTGCTTTTCTTAGTCAATAGTTTAATTTTGACAATAAAACATGAGAATAATATATTATTAAATTATGATATAAATTTAATATCAAGAGATTCTATCTGACATAAAAATTTAAAATATCATATTTTTATAATATAAAATTATATATAAACGAAGATATTAATGGTCAAATTGATTAATGTATATATAGTATTGATAAATGTGAGAATTAAAGGTAAAGAGAAAGAAAAATAAAAGATGGAGGGAGAATGTCAAACAATCATACATCCTCTGTTCCAAATAATTCTTTTAGTTTGACTTTTTAAGTATGATGCAGAAGCATATTTTAGAGAAACTTAAAACTCAAAACACTTATTTGTATCGTGGAGAAACATATTTTTTTTCAAGTGTTATTGACTCTATTACGATGTAATGATAGTTCATATTTTTTTTCAATCTAATGATGCACAAAGATTCAATCTTTTTTGCTAAAACTCGAACCTAGTTGAACTTCCCCATAAATCTTGAGGAATAGAACTCTTACCACTCAAATGAGGGGAGAAGTTTCGTGTAGAAACACATTTAATCCTTAAAGATTTAAATTTTAAAATTTGCACATACTCAATATATTTTGTCAAACCATGAAAATCAAATTCTTCCTCCACATTTGGAAACAAAGATCAAATTACAAATACCATTTAAAAAATATCTATAATTGTCAAAGGGTGCGGCACTTCAATATCTATATATGTATGTATCTATGCCACAAACAAAAACCTTATAGTAATGACCAATTCAAATGCATCATTATATATTGTAGTGTCTTGTGTGTGATTACAATTCAAGCCATAAATTTTTTTTAAACAATAAAAAGCCTTCTTTTTATATAGAAACAAAATCATGACTGGAAGAAAACTTGGGCATTTCAAGTTTTTGAATGAAAGCACAAAGAAACCCATGGTTGAGAGAAGGAAAGTGGGGTTGTTCAAGAAAGCCCAAGAGCTCTCAGTGTTGTGTGATGTTGAGGTTGGGATTGTGATGTATGCCCAAAACCAAAGGGACCCCATTGTGTGGCCATCCATGGAGCTCGCAACGCAGCGTTTCACGCGGTTTCTGAGCCTCCCCGAGTCCGAGAAGGTCAAGAAAATGGTGACGCATGAGAAGTACCTCAGGGACAGAATCGACGCCGAGGTGGAGAAGATCAAGAAGAAGGAGAGGGAAAACGAGAAGAAGGAAATGAACATTCTCATGAACCAAATCATAAATGGAAGAGGCTTGAATGAGATGGATGCTAGGCAACTCAAGGGGTTGTACATCGTAGCAGGTCAGTATACATTTCACTCAAAATAGAATCACGTTAAATTGATAGCACTAAATTTAACATCATTGATGACAACATGTCGTTGCATCTCAAATACATACACAGATAGTTGTTGTATGTATCCGCACATATAATCATCGTCTCCGTATGTCTGTGAGATATAATGATGTCAAACCCAATATTAAAACAAAATTTTCATCCAAAATATATGAAAATACTAGAACGTACTTTAATCTCAAAGATGACAGCAAGAACAATACCATCAAACACAAACAAATATTATCTATCAATCTTGGTGTCATCTGTAATGTGACTGTACATAATATTACCTAAAGTATATATAATAGATATACCTTCAAACTAACATATACCCCGAACTAATATAATTGGGTAGATGAAAAAACCAGAGAAATCAATCCTAATAAAAATGTATTTATTGTTTATTTTGGCAAAAAAAAAAAAACTCCATATGCGAATCAAAGAAATCTCAATGAATATGTGTGTGCGTACGTGCCTCGCGGGACTTTTTTTTTTAAATTTGTGTTTGGATGACGAGTTAAATAGTTGGTAAGAACACATGTGTTTCTAGATTTTTTATGTGTTGATTTTAATATGACTATAATTTGTTATAAACCTTCTTTGTAGTTTAAATGCTATACAACGTATAACTTCAAGATCCAAAAAATAAAAAAAAGTACTTTCGTCTCAAAAATATCATTCCAGTTACTATTCTGATTTCTCGATAATTTTTGTTTATGTTTTTTCATTGATCTTTTGATAAAATAACATATTCTTGCGGTTTTATAAAACTTTACTCTAGTTTTGATATATATATATATACACACACACACACACACACAAACACTTGTAATTTGTATACAAATTTGTAAATATCATTTTAAAAGAAATGATATTTTGAACATTTTTTAGAGTGAGACAAGACTTTAAGGAATGATGGGGTTCCTTTTTATCTTAAAATGTCATGTCACATTCATATGCATATTCAAAATGATTTATGTGGGGATTTTTGTTTATCATATACACACTGATACCCATATTCCGAACCTAGAAAAATTAATGTATATTCATTTCAAAATAATAGCAACGCTTGTTTTTTTATGTTTGTTAATGCACAAATTGAATTAAATCATCAATATTTTTGAATACATTCTAGCAAAAAAATTGTATTATGAATTTTTTTATTAAAACTAATTTAACACCCAACATGACTATTTTTAGTTAATTATGTACGTGCGATATGATTAAGAAAATCAATTAAGAGCGTGCGAGTAATTTGCACAACTTTAACCGTTGCTGTTGTTTGTGGAACAGAAATAGTTAGGAATATAATTTATGCACATTAAATATGGAGTAACATTTTAATATCACGGAATTTAATTATGGTGTACCCCAAGTATTTTATACCACACATTTTGTAGTGTAAGAAAAAAAACATAATCCCCCGTCCCACAAAAAAGTTCCCATTTTGAATAGTATTTAGTCAAATATTTACACAACTACAAATTATGAGAAAAGTATATTGAATTATAAAATAAATTTAATATAATCGGATTCCTCTTAAGATCTAGTTTTGAAATCTCAAATTTTTTTTAGCATTTCTTTATTTAGATTAGATTTAATTTATGATCAAAGCGTGTAACTGTTTGACCAAAAATACATCAAAATGGGAACTTTTGTGTGGGACGGAAGGAGTAATAAATATTTGTGGTTCAAAATGTTTGGAATACATTTGGAGTATTTGATGTACCCCTAGCAACAACAACAACAACAACAACAACAACAACCCAGGTGAATCCCACAACAGTAGGGTCTGGGGAGGGTGTGTGTACGCAGACCTTGCCCCTACTCGGAAGTAGGGAGGCTGTTTCATTTGGAGTATTTGATGTACCCCTAGCATTTCTTAAAAATAAATTCTACTTGTATCCCAAATTTGTACCCCATTATATACCTCAAAGGCTTTGCAACGAGCACAATATGTAAGTGCAACACTAACATCATGCTAGTGTTACACTTGCATATTGTTCTCGTGCAAAACCTTAGGGTACAAATAACACAATTCTTAAATACATTTAGAAGAAAGAAAAAGTTGTAGGCTACATGAAGTAAGGAAGTGTGAAGATTAGTTTTAATTTAATAATGTAAAAAGTGCAAAAATTGTTTTTAAAACACCCAAAAAAGTGTGAAATTTAGTTTGGGAAAAGTATTTCACATTTTCACCAACCTGTCTTTCTATTACGAGAAATCTTTATGATGACAGCTGTAAGAATTGTCAATAAAGAGCATTTAATAACATAAATTAATTGTTGCTCGTAGAAATCATAAATGAGTACGAATAATTAAATGATAAATCTAGTCACACCAACTTTGACACCATGTGTAAAGCATAGTGTTGAACTTGGAGTTTGCTAAGGGTATCCTAAATATACACCACCTTTGCACAGACACACGCTACCTGTATGAAACACAAACAATGGATGTCTGTGTGTACACCATAAGATCTAGGTGTGATATTATGACACTCAAAAGAACTATGGGATTCTCAACAAATGATTTATTCGTGTTATACATTTTTTAAATCTGTATGATTTAATTAATTACTCTAGGATAAAGAAGACTGATATGAAGTTGTATATTGTAAACTCATTGTTTTGGGGGAAAATATATATACTAGGAGAGAAGATGCAAGAACTGGAGAAGAGAAGACGGGATTTGCAGCTCGGCGGCGACTCTGCCGCCGCCGCCTGCTCTTACCACGGGCCTTCGTCTGCCGCATCGAAAACCACCGGGCAATTAGCTAATGATTCCTATAACAAAAACAAGATTGCATTATTGGTGGGTGGTGGAACATCATTGTTCATTCCGACCCTGCCAGTGCAGGGTGGTGGCAGCGGCAGCTATGACGGTTGTCGTCAGCTTATTAATAATTATTCCTTCACCGCTTCAATCAACCCCAACAATGGCGGTGATGGCAGCATTATCGGGAAGGAGGCTGGCGGAAGCAGCAGCGGCAGTGGTGGATGTCATCAGCTGATCAATAATTATTCCTTCACCGGTTCGACGTCCACCCACCCCAACAATGGCGGCAGCAGCGGCAATGTCATTGAAAAGGAGGGCGGTGGTGGTGGCAACAATGGTGGCTCTAGCCAAGTGATTAATAACTATTCCTACACTGGTTCACCTTCAATGAATCCCAACAATGACAGTAGCGACAACCTTATTGGGAAGGAGGGTGGTGGTGGCAGTGGTGGCAGCAACCATGGTGGCTGTCATGAGCCAACTACTAACTATTCCTACATTGGTTCGCCTTCAATAAACACCAGCAATGGTGGCAACGGCGGTGTAACAGGGAACGAGGGTGGTGGTTTTCCTACTATGGAATTGCCAAATGTTGTTGTCACTACTACTAGTAACACTTCTCCAAGTCTTCCCACTAATAATCCTCACCCCCAACAACTTCCTACTCTCAATCAAGTTTGGCCTTACAACTTCTTCTCATCTTAGTCCGGCTCAATTTACCTCGTACCAGGTAACTGTCCGACCGGTCTGGGAACCCTAGGAACAGAGTTTATCATTTAATAATAATAAACATTCTTAGGAGAATATGACGTCACATGTGAACCGACTCAGCCGAGTGATGACACATATGTCCATCGTTTTCATAAAAAGATTATGACACGTTTTAGTAATGATGGATGGCATATGCATCTTGAATTGGTTGAGTTGGTTCATATGTTGTGGCATAACCAAATTTACTTAAGAATTTGTAATACCATTGTACTATGTTGTGATTGTTGTCAGCTTTGGGTGTTTTTATTTTCTTTTGTTAGTGTTGTAACAAATATGGTATGCCAACCCATACAAGTTATGCTTTAGAGTTTTCATCATACACTCCCTAGTAGTAGACTTCTTCCCCTTATTCGCCTGGTTTCATGAATTCCTAATAGAAATACGCACACGAATGATGCGGTATGTCCGATACGAACATAGTCGGTATGCATATAATATGATATTCTCCAATATAATTACTACAAAATTCTCCACCATCAGCTGACATAAAATGTAATTTCCTACAAAAATTTCCAACTGTTTTCATTAAAACATTTACTCCCACCGTCCCTAAATGTTTTGTGTTTATTACTCCGTACTTTTTCTTTTGTATTCACCTTAAAAATTGTCCACATTTTGCTTTACACTAAGATTTGTGTAAGTGATATTGACTTTTTTTCAAATAAATCCCTATTTCACAATTTTATTTCTTAAATTCACTAGTAAAAAGCAAACATAGATACAATGAGTATGTGAATACTACACTTAATAAAAGCATCACACAAAACACAGATATATATATATATATATATATATATATATATATATATATATAATATAAAAAAGCATCCCAGCTATAGTCACCCATCCCTACTCATCACTCTCTTCTAGGAAGGTTCCAAATGGTTATTTTCTGTGACAATCTAGGCTAAGATAGTCAAATGGACAAGATTCTTTATAGCAATGCAAGGACCATAAAAAAATCAATACACAAGAATTGAGGGACCTAGTTACCTACTCCATCTGTTCCTTCTTTATCTTCTCACTTTTTTTTGTTGTCCCTAAATAATCTTTACATCTCCTTTTAAACAAATAATTGTTAGGTTCACACCAATTCCCTCTTCTCTAAACAACTTTCAAGTTTCAACTTTCAACCATACATTTTCACCTTTTTAAAACTCCGTGTAAAAAGCAACCAGGAGGATTAAAAAGGGACAGAGGGAGTATTAGTATGTCGAAGCTAACCGTGGGGAAATGCCAAACGGATGTGCTATTGATGGACATGGAATTCAGCACCAATGGGGAGATGATCACTTGGATGGTAGTAATTGGGCAATCCACCTTGTACATCAGATGATTCTGGCTCCGGGAGCTCAAGGTAGCTCACTGGTTTTAAAACCCCGGAAGGCGAAAATAATATGTAGTCAAGGGTTCCTGTAAAACCTGGGGTGCAGTTCGTGAAATGTGGTTCGCCTCTGGTGTATGCATATACACTACACAGTGGAACCCTCGTCTCATCTGGGGTTTCTTGATGAGATCCCATCAAAGAGGTGTATACCTGAACAAAACACAATCAAAAAGGTATTCTAACTAAAGAGTTTGTTAAATCAAATGAACCTTTTTTTTTGGAAAAATTCATGCCAAGATTCTATAATCATCGTTAGCCCTCCCAGAAATTAAATATTGTTACAATAACGCTCCAAGAGAATTTTTAGTTAACATGGATCCCCCAAATTTAGGAGACGTATCTCAGAACAATATGCAATCTTAGAGTATTATTGTAAAATTATTGAATTTCTGAGAATGCTGAAGATAGTTATCTGAGACCAAGTTACTTATGAAGTATAATTAGAGCTGGCAAAACGCTCGGTCGGGTCGGGTCGGGTTCGATCACCTTGAGTTCGGGTTACTTCGGGTTTAGGAAAGTTCAAGTTCGGGTTGAGAGCTACATGTTCATGACCCAATGTCATCGGGTTCGGGACGACCCAACGGATTATGACTTTCATTTATTTTTTGAAATTTTAAGTAATTTTTATGACCGATTGACAATATTACGAATACAAAAACTAAATATGCAGAAAATTTTAAAAAAAATAAGATAGTTATGTGATATCATTAAAAATTTTGTATGAAAATATAAATTTGTACATTAAAAACGAGTAGTAAGCAAAGAAATATAATTAAAATCTTATTTTTATAGCATTATATTACATATTAAAGCATAAAATTTTGAAAAATTCTTACATTAGCGGGTCGGTCATGTCGGGTTCGGTTTCGGTCAGGTTTGACCCATTTTTAACGGGTAACTTTGGGTTCAGTCAACAAAACCTTTGTTCAAAACCCAGTATTTTCATTGTCGGGTCTCAGGTAAAAAACAAGCTGGGATCTAAGTATAATGAATTCAGTTAAATAAAAAAACAATTGAATCATGATTTATGATAGTTGTACCTTACCCAAAAATAAATACTCTAAATTGTACCATGGTAAAGTGATTAACCGCATTCTGTTAGGCAAGGAAAAACTTCTTTAGAGTTAGAAAGTTATAATGAACACTAACTTGATCCCCAGGAATAGAATTGAAGTCTCCCGCAACTATTATAGAAGGTGAGCAGCCAAATTGCTCTGACACTCTGGTCTTGAATTGAAACAAGCGAGATAGCAAATATCCAGCTTGTGCAAGCTTCACATCCACCCATTCTGGATCCCTGGAAAAGGTAATCAACATACATTTTAAATGAAATACGTAGTTTGAATAAAAACATTAAAGTTTCAGTCTCTTAAAGCAATTCAAATAGCAGAGACGTTAGAACTATAGCATGTTAATTAAGACCTGGGGCTTACCAGTAAATGTGGGTGTTTGCAACAATGATGTGATGACCAGAAGGATCCTTGAGCTTGAAGGCGGCCATAATACCAACACAATCACGTTTTAGTCTGATGCGAGGATCGTTAGGATCTCCACGATCTGTTTGAGTGCTTTTCAACTCTGAATCTGAACATATGGTGTGCAATGTATCGGCAAAATGAAAAGTGAATGGAATATGCTAAGTTGCACGGAGATGGAGACGGGTACTCATATGGGAAACACCTACTTTTCCAAATTTTACAAATGATTTCCATTTATCTAGAAAATGACGTTTCAGGGACGGGAAGCACTGAGTACAACCTTGCTGAAAAACTTTATCTTGCACTGAGCTAGTAAATTGCAATCGTATGGTTATATCTTAAGATGATTGCATCTGGGATATAACTTAATTACATAGAAATCAAGCATATTATGAGCAATTTAAGGACTGCATGTTTTAAATATTACTCGTACTAAACTTATTACCGATATGATCACAGTAATTGGATTGTTAGGGAGCTCTGCATACACTAGATAAACATAGAATATTAGAAACCTAAGAGAGGCTAAGAATACCATTTGTTGAATCAACACTTTTATTTCCACTGGCGGGTAGATCATCATTGGTCTTCGGGCTTGCAGTTTCATCTTGAATTGTTGAACAAATGAGATCATTGTAATATATTTTTTCTTCAATAATCAACTCTGCACTGTTTATGAAATGCATAAAGGAGTAAGAATGTAAGAATCCTTTTCCCATTTCTTGCACACAAAAAACACTCAAAATCAAGCCTAGAAGCCCCTAAACTTGCAAAAGTGAAACTCTCCATGTTTATTTTAGACCAGAGTATATACGATGTGAAAGTTCTAAGTTACAATACTTTAGAACTTCAATTTTTCAAGGCATCAAAGTCTATGAGATTGCAGAGAATCGATTTAGATTAATGGAAATTTAGCTTTCCATTAATATTTATTTTTTTCTAGCAACACGAGAAAGAGATTGGTTGAAATAACAGGGAGCAAGTTAGCACACCTTCCGGGCTTATAAAATATTCCACATCCATCGCGCTTCTGCCCACCTCTTTGAACGTATATACTTGAATAACCAAAACTTTCAATATTTTTCTTATAGAAGCTATCATACTCATCCAGTTCCTGATACATAAATGTATACATAATATTAAATTGAGGACAATGATCTAGTGAATATATAAACCAATTCTAAACAAAGAAGATGAGTGGATTCAGTTTCTTTAAAGACCAAATTCATCGAATATTTGTTAATATTGACAACAGGACAAACCTGTAAGCAAAAAATATCAGCCCCCAGTCCTTTTAGAACGGCCAGTGTTGCCTGAGATCTGGCTTTCCACCTGTTGCAATCAAAGACTTATATCCACAACTAGAGTCAAATTATGAAAATATATCTATGTGAAGCATGTTGAATGGATTTTCTTGACAAGCATCAAGCAACAAATAATTTTAGAAACACCACTCTCGACAATACCATTCATTGTTGGTGCATGTCTTTGAGAAGGGCACTGTCAAAAATAATGTGAGTAGCATTTTTATATTGTATACTGTGCAATATGATCATCAGCTCGTTACTATAAAAGATAAATTATAGCTTTTCAAGGTTGATTAATTAAACATTCAAGAGCCTTGTGATAAGACATGAACAAATGTGGGTAACTCGTAAGCAGGCAGAAAAACATGATTTGGAGAAGGAAAAGTCAGTGGACAGGTTGAGGTAGTTGCAGCAATGAAGAGCAATGGGAAAACCGTAGATGTGCTTCCAGGTTAATGACAGCTGCAAAATGTTTTATTGGTTGTGTATTGTATAATGTAGTGACATTCTCGTAGAAGATTTATTTTATGCAAAATAATAAATCCGTATCATTATTATCAGCACCTTAATCCCATCTAAATGGGGTGTGCGGCATTTAATTTATAGTGCAAACTAATTGTATAAATCAATTTTAACTATAAATTCATGCAAAAAAGAAGTGACAAATTCACAATGTTTTCTGCTGGATGCCCTAGTAAATTGAAGCATTCTTACTTTCTTTCTTCAGTCCCAAAATAGTCCCCATGCTTCCTTTCAAGGAAAGAGTGTGCAGTTCATGTTCTTTGATTCCTTTTAAAAAAAAATCAAGTCAAACCTAGAAGGTCAAATGGGGGCAGATGGAACATTCTAATCCTTGCTAAACAATACGAATTTAACCAATTGCATTGAGTCTATTATACATAAACACAACAATAACCCAGTTGGATCCCATGAGAGTCGGGAAATTGTGTGTATGCTGACCTTGCCCCGACTTGAAAGTTAAGAGGTTGTTTCCCAGAGACCCCGGCTCAAGCAACACAAATAATATAAGTATACAGAAGAAAAGAACTGATGTCGCAGAGCAAGCACAAAGCATACAGAAGCAAAAGAACAAACTAATGTAAATGAAGAAAAAGCACCGCTAATCTGCTATGATACATAAAGAGAAAAAAATTACTTGGACCTTCTTTTCAGTAATTTTTAGTTAACAAATAATGATTGAATGATGTACACATACATCTCTGCTTTTTTCTCATAAGGGAGCAAAAACAAATACTTCAATACATATATTTCCCAAGCAATCATTTTGAATGCGAAAAAACATTCTTGCCACCCTTCCGACCATGGCCGAGACAATAATGGTCCTACATTATGACTTGGTGATTAGTGAGTATACTAATTTGTATAGTTCAATGCTTCATTGTAAGTATTCCATGCTAATGTCAACAAATAAAGTAAAAAGTAAAAACACTTCTTTTCTATTTCATTCTGTTTCAACAATTGAGGTACATTTTGGTTTGCATTTACATGCAATGCATGAAGAAAATGTACATGCATCCAATTATAATGCATTTTATACATTCAGCATACTGGTGCCATCAGTTTATTAACCTCTAACCATTTAAATGGTGTTCCTATATAGGATGGGTGTATTGTGTACCATTCTTTGTAGGCTATGAGTGTGGAACGTGTTGCCAAAAGTGAAGTCAAAATGAATGTAAATCAAGCAGGGGAGATGTGGGACCCAGACCAATCATGAGTATTTCGACAAAACCGAAAGAAAAATGTATATGAAACAATGAAGAATTTCTGATAAGGAGAATTGGAACATACTTGAGACACGGCGGCGGAGAGTGTGGAAATAAAGCACTCTTTACATAAACCTGAAAATCAAGATATGAAATAATTGAAATTTGCAAAAAAAAAATGTAGTATTTTTTATTACTACATTATCAACCAAACACCACAACATTACTTGAAAACGGCTATGCTGCAAAAAAAACCTATTTGCCAAATTCAGAATGAGAATGGAGAAAATGATTTTAATCTGTTACCAACAACCCCCTCTGACACACTATATGTGTCTCATTTTACCATTTTGTCTGTCTCGCTATCTATGTCGCATTCCATATTTTCCATATATGTGTGACTCAAAACCATTCCTAAATCCATACTAATTCAATATCAACCACACACATCTCAACGGGAAAACACTTGTAAGAAAACAAATCAACTGGTAGAACACAGCTGAGAATGACGAATTTATTCTAATACTCAACCATCTACACACACAATATACCACTTTACATGCAAAAGCAAGTAATGAGTAATGTGAAGAACAAAATACGATTCCAAAGTTTAAAAAAATCAATTTTTTACCTGAGCCAAAATGTTATACGACACAATACTGAACTTGAAACCTGGAAAAAGAAGAATGTAAACACATCTCAATCAACAGCTCCGACAAAAGGAATCTATTCAAATGGATTTTAAACTGCAGAGTTCTTCAAAGAAAACATACCTTCAGGTTTGCTAATTGAATCTATAGGAATGAACTTGGGACACAACGGTTCACGTGATGTGCTCATCTTGCTGAAGCAAATCGCTCTACATATTTCAAGAATCCAAACAAAAAAAACTAAAACATCTTTGAAATTTGTAATGAATCTCAGAATAAGGCCATACTTCACAGAGGCAAATCATCAAACACGTAATATCCAAAGATCATATACCGCAACAGTTCATAGAAATCAACAAATTTCTGCTTTTGCGTGTGATTTGTGTTTATAAATCATGGATGCATAACCATAGTGATGTTTGGTATGAATATGTGCGAATTAAAGCATATTGCGAATTGCTATACCTTGAAAGCGGGCGAGCTACTGTGAAGCGAGGAAGCAAACGAAAGAACTTCAGCATAATTTTGTTGAGAGGTGTATTTGTGTTGGTGATCTTTTTTAGGTAATTTTATTTACTTTTTAATCAAATAATAGTTTGAATAGACGTTATCACGTGAAAATGAGTTAGAAGGTGCAGAATGCATGCTCATTCAATGATATTGCAAATTTATAGTGGAACTCGAAGGCGGCAGCTCTTGGTAGCGGAGTCCAAGGAACAGAGCCGTAACGGAGTACAAGAGACAGAGGCCTGGTCGAGGTTTATTTTGAACATTAAAAAATCTTTTAGAATTTTGTAAACGGAGTCCAAAACGAATAATATCTGAATGTACGGATATACATTCAAAAAAAGTCCAAAATTGCGTGCATCTCTTTGTTGAGGCGCTTCTTTACGCGAATGGACATGTCTGATCACCTCTTTGTTTCAACAAATACAGAGACACGTATGATTGAGATACCAATTTTTGTGCTTGAATTAATGTTTTTTTCGATTGAAGTATTTAGATATACTTCGAAATAACTTTAATTTGAAAGCATGTTCTCACACAATTCGTTCAATCCATCAAGTTCATTCATCATGCTCGTATATTTTCTTCATAATGCTAATTCACAGAGTAAGAATTCCTCCATACAAAATTCCAACAATTTGTATCCCGATTTATTCACCAAATCTATCACAGGCAAGATAGATAACTCGTCATAGATTTGCAACCTAAAATAGATTTGTCAAATTATAATAAATGGAATAAATTTTGCAAAACCATAATTAATAATAACAATAATAACAATAACCATAATAATTGTATAATTTTATGTGGATGAATATAATCTAATTTAATTCAATAAAAAAATAAGTATGTAATAAGTTTAAAAAATAAAGTGAAAAAAATGCAACCTTAATCTTGGATTGAAGAAGATGAAACTATAGGTTAGATGGTCATTTTCCAGCTTAAAAAAAGTGCAGAAATAAGGGGTGTAATGGAATTGGAATTGTGCAGTTATCTCTTTTTCTTAGAACCCGTTTGGTACATAGAATTGACGGAATTAGAATTGAATTGGAATTGAAATTCTATGAATATTGAATTGGATAAAATTTAATTCTCCAATTCTAATTCATTTTTTTGTATTACCAATTCCAAATTCACATGTTTTTTGTTACTAACCTACAGAATCGGAATTGAAGTTTCTAATTTCAATTTCGTAATTTGAATTTCGTGTACCAAACTGGACTTTAGCTTAGTGTTATTGACTGTATTACAATATATCATATGTTTATATTTTCTTAATCTAATAACATACAATAAGACAATGTCACTCTCTCTCATAGATATGAGTTTATTTGTTTTTACAACTAATAAATCTATAAAAGAAATTATCGTTAATGTCCAACATTTGTAACTCTGAAATCACTCGACAATATGTGCTTCTTTGATACACATTGGGTGCATATCATTTTTGTGAATCTTCTCACATAATTTTTTACTTTTTTATTTTAAAACCAAATACTTATTGAAATAGTAAAGAAATACTTATTTTGTTTAGTGCTTTTTTGAATTACATGTAGAATCCGTTTGGTGCACATAATTGTAATTAAATTGAAAATAAAATTCTATAGAATTAAATTGGAAGTCCACGTAGAAATTGGAATTCTATAAAATTCTATAGAATTAAATTGGAAGTCTCCTCGATAATCGTCAGCAGTCGGATGAAACTTCGCTCAGTTGCTTCCCTACCTGCTATGTTGATGCCAACTTCTCACATGCTTCTGGTTCAGGTACGTTTGGTGTTGTACTCTACTCTCATAATAGAGCTTTCTTGGGGGCTGTGAATGGACCCTTCTCCCGCTACTTGTGTCCGTTATTGGCAGAGACGATGGCTGCTAAAGAGATGCTCATTTGGTTAAAGTCTCGCGGGGTGACGTCTGTTCGGGTGCTTTCTGATTGTGCAACCTTATGTCACAACATGGCAAATCCTTGTACGGAAGATCGTTCTTATATTGGCATCACTAGTTCGGACTGCAAGAAACTTAAACAAGGATTTAATAATTGTTCCTTCAGTTTTATTCCTTGATCGTCTAATTTTTGTGCTCATTCTCTGGCTGCTGCTGCCTATGGGCAAACTTCTATTATGTATTGGGATTCTTCCCCTCCTGACTTTGTACCTTTTCAAATTTAATACAATTTGCTTGTTTTCAAAAAAAAAATAATTGGAAGTCCCCGTAGAATTAAATTACATGTAGTGCTTTTTTGAATTACATGTAGGATCCGATCGATACAATTCCAATTCATTTTTGAACAACTAATTCCAAGTCCAAGTAGTTTTGGGCAATCAAACAGAAAAACCGAAATTGAAATTTCCAATTTTGTGTAGCAAACAATCCGTAGTATTTGTCTAAAATCTCCAACAAAGACAATAATTTTACTTTCAGATGGCTTTGCCAAAAGGTTGAAGTTGGTAAAATAACGCCATTTGTGGTTGAAACTTTATCTCAAGTAGTAATACTATTGCATTTTAGGCAAATTATTACGTGGACCTAAATCCATATTTATTTTTATGGATCTTAGTATATTTGTAGCATAAAAAAGTAGGCCGTCTACAAAAAAATACCAACATACAAGTCCATGTACAAAAATTATTTTCTCATCACCATTATTATTTTCTATAGAATCTTAAGTATAGTAATTCACTAATTCAAAACTATGCTTTCCTTGAAAGGGAAAAAAATATTCTTATTTAAATGATGTACGGTATTAGGATATTGATTTAAGATATACTCTCTCTCATAAAACTCTTTAATATGGAATTAAAAAATGTGTAACATTAGTATCATTTTCTAATTTTATTCTTATTTTATATTAAGGTATGATAGAATGTAATATCTAGATTAATAGTGAAAGATTTGATGTGATAAGTATGTTAATTAATGCTCCGTTGTGTGGATAATAATTTAAAGCTGAAGTAATTTTTGAGAGGATAAAAAGTGAAAGTAAAAGTCTTTTTGGGATAGAGGGAGTATATCATAAATTAAAATTCATATTAATGGAATATATGTACGAGATATACGGAGAGAAAACATCCTATATAAGAGTAAAAATTATGAAAAAATCAAAATATCAGCCATAAGTTCTTTTTAGACCAAAATGAGAGTTTACACTGTCATTGTTACACTGCCACACTCACCACATTGTCACATTGTAACTGTCACACTATTATCGTCACACTGTCATCTGTTGCCGCCGCCCACACGCTGCGGATCGCTGATGGTTGACAAATCACACTGACATACTAGTTACATGTGCGTACTGTCATCACGTTTTCATCACACTCCCAACATGTAATTTTACATCGCACTGCCATTAAACTCATATTTTGATCTGAAAAGATTTAGAACTTTTATTTTTGTATTTTCATAGTACTCTTTTACTTCTGTCCATGGAGATTTCTTATATCCCCGAATGTTTATTTAATGCTATATATTGCTAATAGAACTTATGATTATTCTTTTTTAAAAAAATTATGATTATTTGCCATAAAATGCAATATAATTTTTTAAAAAAATAGTCAAAAGATGAAAGAATAAATTAAGACAACTTAGGAACTAATAACATATTTTATAATTAGGAATTTAGGAATTAGGATAAGGATCTTCCCTATGAAATTAATTATTATTGTCTAATGATGCACGCAACTGAGTTGAGATAATTATTATCTTTACAAATTATTATTATTATTATTATTATTAAAATTATAATTATTAGTATATTTATTGCTGTTGTTGTTTCTTTTATTGTTGCAAACAACTCTAATACTTCCTCGGGGCCTAAAAACATGTGAGTTATTGATTTTTAAGATGTTTAAAGGAAGTGTATTTTGGTATTGAATTTTCAAAAAAGTACTTTGATGTGATGGATAAAAGTAAAATTTGATTAATAAATTATTAGTAAAAAGGTATGATGTGACATATAGAGTATGAAAAAATAAGGGGTAAAAGTGACTTTTTAATAGGAATAAAAATTGTTTTTAAGACGAATGAAAAAAAATGAAAAAAGTTTTTAAGGACGGAAGAAGTAGTATATATATTCTCTCCCTCCTAAAATAAATGTTCTAGTTTGAATTTTGCGATGACTCTGACATCAAATTGAGAGAAAAAAATAGTTACTCACTCCATCCCCAATTTGATTACAAATTGCAGGTTACAGAGTAAAATTTCTTACTTTTTGAAATCATTTTATTTACAAATTAGTATATCAATAAGATATAAAAATTACATATTAAAAAACTACATCAAAAGTTCTACAAAATAAGAGGTGACAAGAATATTTTATTTTATCAAATACTTAATGAAATCGCGTAAACAAACAAAAGTTATCGAGAGGAGAAAAAAATTGTAATCCATTTAGGAACGGAGGGAGCATAATACAAAATTGATAATTGAATTCATTTTTAGATGCTTTTTGATTTGCATATCGTATCATTACAGAGTATCTATTATACTCCTCTTAAAAAATACATCCTTGTTTCTCTGACAAATCCTTCGACAACTTTTGTTTATTTATATGTACATCAAAATTATTTGATAATATAAAATATTTTTGACATTACTTATTTTCAAAACTGCATTTTTGGTGTAACTTTTTATTAAATATTTAAGTTTTAATTTTTATTTCTATACAAGTTTATAAATATTTTTCTTGTAACAAAGTACTTCGTAATTACTTAACTTATGATAAAAAATATCGCAAAAATGAAACTAAAACTATAATTTGAGATAGAAATAGTATAGATGAAAGGGGGCACGAAAGGTTGGGTAGGATCCGCCATATCAAAATATCCATCTCTACGTACCTTTCCTTCATTTCCAAACAAATCTAAAAGGTTGAGCTAACAAACCAAACACTATCAAGTTTGGGTTGGTTTCTAAATTTTTTTTTATATAAAAAAGTTTGATGTATTTTAGACCTTTAAAAAATGGAAAATTTAAAAACTCCAACAAAATTTTACTAAGCAGATTAAAATAAGAAAAATGCTAAAGTTACAAACAGAAATATCACAAATATATCATTCATGAATACATTAAAAGAATAAAATAAACTTCAGGAATTTGAAAAATAACGTTTATAAACAATAAATTTGTATATTTTGCTCACGAGATTTCTTTTTTTTGTATGTTTTGTGACTTAAGAAATAAATTTCACAAAAAAGCAATAAACTTGTATATTTTGTGACTTTTCAGTGCATGGATTTAACATTTCTCTTAAATTAATAGTTATAGTTCACGAGAGCTTATGTCTTGACTTGAGTGGTAGGAAGTGCACTCACTAGGATTATGTCCCAACAAAAGTAGATGTATTTGCTCACTAGGCGTGCGTCATTCGATTGAGAAAGTATAAACATACACACAAAAGTAGAGTTATTAATACTGGCAGGTCGTGAAAAATGTTTAACTGAGGGGCTAAGGTTCGGGGGCGGTGTCCCCAATTTTTTAAAAAGGTTATTTATAATGATGAGAAATGAATAAATTTAATTTCAAACAATTTTTAAATAAGTAAAATAAAATATTTTTAAACTGGAAAAATACAATATAAAATATACCATAACTTAATGTAAATACTCCGATATTATATTTTAAATATTTTTCATTTATATTTTATTTAAATAATTTTTTTTCCTTTTAAACCAGAACCCATATTTTTGTGACCACCATCGTGTCCCAAACTCTCGAACTATGATTAAAGGGTAAAGTGTAATTGATTTTACTCCATTAATATATGAAATCAATTATTAGTTGATATTCTTTGTAATATATTTCCATTAATTAATATCTTTTGCCGGCCGCCAAAGGTTTTATTTTAGCGTGTGTCTATATATATACTCCAATATATATATGGAGTGTTAATTAAGTACAGAAGGGATTTTTTTTTCACGTCGTCGTTCCATAATTATTGTTAACAGCAATAATTCAAATCATTTTATTAATAATTTCTTTATTTTTTTTCTTTGGATTCCCAGAAAGTTATTATTGTAAAATAATACTCCAAAATCCAAATGAAGAAATGGGTGTATGGTTTTATATTTTTACTTGTTATCATATCACAAGGGCGAGGGCTCCAAGTTGAAATTACCATTCTGGACAACGCTGTCGAAGAAGGAGCCGGTAATTATCATTAGTTTCGTTAATTATTTTTTTCTATTTTATTAGCATTTTGCATAAATTTTTAATTTAATGCTGAGTTAAAAGAATTACTTTTAAAACAACTAAGTTCTAATAGAGCATAAAACCTTTCTCGAGCTTTAATTTTAATCAATCAAAGTTTTAAATACTTAATTGATTTAATTTTTTACGAGTATGTCTCTCTCTCTCTCTCTCTCTCTCTCTCTATATATATATATATATATATATATATATATATGTATATATATAGCTATTTTCCAAACTAGAGGTTAGAGATTCAAACTTCACCTTCATCCAAAATTAAAAACAAAAAAATTAACGTATGTACATGATTAAGGTAAAAAAACAAATTTCATATGCACCTAAAATACACATTTTAAAATATATAAGATCTCATCTTCTAAATAAAACTTTGAGATTGTAGTTGAATTAAGTACTAAAAGTATACTCCGTACTATCTTTATTCCATAAAAATCTTCGGGTTTAATGACTTTCACCACGTATTCATAGAAAAATGTTTTTAGAAAAATGAAAAAGGATGTGGAGAAATAATTTTTTTGGGACACATATTTTCTTTTTGAAATAGAAAGTACAAGTAACACGTTTTGAAACGAAAAAAAGAAAAGAAAAATTATTTTATAGGAAGGGGAGTGTATTACTCTCTATTATACGTGCTCTCTCTATCCCAATCTATTTGTCAAATTTGACTTTTTAGAGTCAAATAATATCAATTTTTTAGTTTCAATTTAATAAAAACCGTTATCATAAAAATGGCTATTAAATTCATCTTATTGAGAAGTTTCAAAATTGTATTTCATTGTACTAATATGTCATACAAATTAAGAGTAATTGAAACTCAAAGTTTGTTCAAATTGACTCAAAAAAATCAAACTTGACAATACACTGGGACGAAGGTAGCATTATTTATTTATTCATCAAATTCTTATATAAGATGATGAATTAATATTGTGTTTTGATGGAAAGCAGTATGCTTGGACGGAAGTCCGCCGGCTTATCATCTAGACAGAGGATTTGGCAATGGTGCTAATGATTGGTTGGTCCAAATTGAGGTTAATATATTATTATCATAACCTCATGCTTTTCTATGGATCCGTTTAAAAATAGCGTTAGAAATTATCGTTTTGAATAAAATTTTAACAGTGCAAATTACTTTAAAAACGATAACGTTAACTACTGCCCGTAGATAATTTTTCTAAAATGCTAACGCCAATCTCTAACATTATTCTCAAACATGTCTTATATTGCTTAATTATAGAGGCTAATAAGCTTTTAGAACTACTATCACCGTAATTTTTACCATTATAATTTAACTTTTTTTATCGAGAAAATTCTAATCCACCAAAATTACCAATATCTATTGGATTAATTAATTACATTATTAGAATATACTCGTAGAATATTTCGATATTTATTACAAAAATGAAGTGTATTAACTCATTGGCTCAACGAATATTCTTAACTTGATCATATCATTACACACAAATAATTTCTTGCCTGAATTTATTGATTATCCTTCCCTAACAAGAACGTAATATTAGAGGAGTAATATTACTCTTGTAATTATAGCATAATAAATTAGCATGCTCATCAATTACTTTAAAAATCACCAACAACAAAGAAACCATCTACCCTAAAATTAACTTCTTGGTTTATCTTTTGTGGTCGAACTTTTCAAACTATGCTTGCATATTACTGATAAAATACATTGAATTTTCATATGAGTTTAATACCAATAGATTCATTTTTGAAATACAGTTTTTAAATATTTCATTCTTATAGTATATATTTATATATAAATAAAGATATTAATGATCAAAATGTTACACTAAAAAGTCAAATAAAAAGTTAATTTTTAAAAGGAGTAATAATTTTTTATTTTCAGGGAGGAGGGTGGTGCAATAGCATCATGGATTGCAGTACAAGGACGAGGACTCATTTAGGGTCCTCCAAGCTAATGGAGACACCACGTACTTTTAGTGGAATTATGAGCAACAATCATTCATTTAACCCATGTAACTTAATTTCTTGCTAATTACCTAGTAATATATAATGAGTAATTTTAGACAAATATGTTTCGAATTTACCCTTCACACACAAGATTTCTGTGTGCGTCACAAACGAAATCTGTTTGTGATTCACACACGTCTATGAAGGATAAATTTGAAGCTTGGTGTAAACTTTGATGCACCCCCTTTAAAGCATGAGGATTGAGAAAACTAATGAAAGTTGAACTTTTATCGGGATTTCAGATTTCTACAACTGGAATAGAGTTATGGTTAGGTACTGTGATGGTGCCTTGTTTACCAGTGATGTAGAAGATGTCGATCCTGTAAGTCATAACAGTGAATTGTCAAGCTTTTATTATGCTTTCTCTGCCCCATAAAACCTTTTCAAAGACGAAAGAAAGAGCACTCTAAAAATGGGTAATTTTGATATTATTTTCTAATTATCATATTCTACCTTATTATAAAGTAAGAACAAAATTAGAAAATAACATCAAAATTACACATCTTTAGGGCACACCTTTTTTCGTCTTTAAAAAGTTTTATGCGACGGAGGAAGTATTATCTTTGTCCCATAAAAATCTTCCATGATGCCCTAATGTTGCAAAACATAGGAATCAAATGGATATGCAAATATGAAATCCTATTTTTTTTCACACATGCACAGAAAACCTAAGACCCATCAATATTTCTTTTACTATAAATACCTTTCCAGGCCAACAATCTTCACTTCAGAGGTGCAAGGATTTTCAAGGCAATCATGGAGGACTTACTGGCAAAGGGGATGATAAATGCAAGAAATGTATGGAGTAACTATATAAATAAACATGGCCATTATAAAAATACTCCATATATTGTCGAACCAGAAATTATTTTCACACATTTTTTTGTTTCAAAACTATTATTTATGAGGATTGACAAATCAGTAAATTGTGCCGGTGTTGTTAGGCAATTCTCTCAGGATGTTCAGCTGGGGGATTAGCTTCAATATTGCACTGTGACAAGTTCAAGGCATTACTACTACCATTTGCTACTGGTAGGGTCAAATGCTTTTCTGATGCAGGTTTCTTTATTGATGTGTAAGCTCCATTTTCCATTTCTCTTCTTACACCAATAATAAGAGCAGGATGAAAATCAGGTATAAGATTAAGTAATGAAATTGACATTTGTAAGCAGTTATTCGCAACCCAAAATAATACAGAGTATATATGTATATAATCATGTCTCCTCTTGTTTTGTAATGTAAAACTTTTGAATTTTGACGTAGTTTTTTAATACTTTTCCCATCCCAAAAAACTTTACCCGTTTTGACTTTCACAGGCTTTAAGAAAGTGTTGAAAAATCGAAAATGTGTGGGTAAAATTTGTTTAGATGAGAGATAAATCTTGTGAGCCACATGTTCATTACAAAAAAAAGTGTGGGAAGTGCTTTAGAACGTCCAGAAAGAGAAATTGGGTAAAAGAAAATTGGGACAGAGGAAGTATATGTTCATAAATTTTACTTATTATTTCTACGGCAATTTTCAAATAGCTATGGAATAATTTCAGTCAAATATCGTAAAACACAACCATAACTTCTTTTACGGGTGGAGGGGAGTATTTAACTTAATAAATGTAAGGTGGTAAATTAACCCTTATTACCTTATACATTACCTAAATCCATAATCTAAACGGTATTTAACCACTTCTCCTTTTCCAATAACAAATTTGTCAATATTACACTATCTCTAAAATTGTTACAGGAAGAGCATCACGGGTGAGCCAGTTATTCAAAACTTCTACAATGATGTTGTGACCTTGCATGTGAGAATCTTTACTGTGTTAAACTGTGAAAATATTTTCAATTTCTGTAAATTTTTGTACTCTCATTTTTACTACTGGTAATTAATTTCCTTCCATTGGCGGTCCCAGGGATCCGTTAAACATTTGAACCACTCGTGCACCACAAAGATGAATGATGGTACAAGTACTGGTAGCGGTAGTAGTATGTGCTTCTTCCCACAGAATGCAGCTTCATACATTCAAACCCCATTGTTCCTTATCAACTCAGCCTATGACTATTGGCAGGTCTGACCATTTCTAAGAATTTTCCTAATACATCCATCGTGTTGCTCTATCTACTTTGTTTGCTTGTGCTTCTATGTTTGAGCAGGGAGTCCCTTGGAAACAACATTCTTAGTACCATGTAGGGTAAGGTCTGTGTACGTGCAACCTTCCCAAACCCTACTTGTGGGATTTTACTAGGTTTGTAGTTGTATCCTAATGTATCCATCCATCCCAAAAAAGAAAAAGAATACTATCACATCTCGAAATTCAGATCGCAAGAAAATTTTTTACTTTTCTTTTCGGAATGTCCTAAAATATAGTTCTTTTTCTTTTTAGGAAAAGAATTGTGGTTCATTTCATCTCCCTCACCTGCATAAATTTCAACCACAATTTCCCAAATTCCTTGAAAAAGAGAACGGAACTCAGAGGTGGGAAGTATATGGCAATAAAAAAGATGAATGTGTGTGTAGGTCTGTCAATGGGCCAAGGTTTCACCTCGATATGGGACATTTGGTTTTGGGGCCGAACTAATACTGCCATACTGGTCTGAAACTTTTGTTTCCTACCCAACCCAACCCATTGGCAAGTTTGAGATTGTATGGGTGTGTGTGTTTGTAGAAGTAAAAATATTAGAAGTGCAAATTGAATTTTATTTTAAGACAGATACTTGATTTTGTTTCCTGAAACAACTGAATAATCTTGAAAACCAGGTGAGGTTCAGCTTGATACCTGACCATGTTGATCCCAGTGGAATGTGGAAGAATTGCAAGAGGGGTTTAGCTACATGCCAACCTCAGCAGCTCAACACCATACAAGGTAAAGTGCCCAAAAACTGTTGTCTGCCTTAGATGGGTCCAATTGCACTGTTCATCACAATGCCACTAGAATTTTGACAAATGTGAGACTTTTTCCACTGTCATTGCACACTTGTGCTAGTTCTGTGATGCCAAGTCACTAGTAGATGGTGTAATGCCACAACATCAACAAATAAACTTTAGTAAAATCCGGAAAAAATAGAGTGTAATGTCGCTACCTTTGGTGGAAGTACATAGGCAATTAAGAGCAGGTTAGTGCTTAAGCATGTATTCAAATACACCAAAGCGCAGAGGTTTAATAACAATGAAAATGATTCAATCCAATACCAGCAATAAATTAATGAAAAATTAAAAATCATATCATATTCTCATATTTAAAGAAGCCCTTTTTTGGCAAACAAAATTTCAGGTTTTAGATTAGAGTTCCTATCAGCATTGGAAGGACTAGGACCTTCTACAACAAGAGGGTACTTTATCAACTCTTGTTATCTGCATTGTCACACTGAGTTGCAGGCCTTGTGGCACAGCCCCAACTCTCCAAGGCTGTTCAACAAGGTAAAATTATAATAGTGAGTGATATATTGTGATGTTAAATTATACACAAAGAGACACTATTAGGATATATTGTTTATATTGTACTCCCTTTGCCCCCATAAAAGACATTTCAATTGCTAAACTCGTTTTTGTCACACACAAAAAAGAGTCAAGTCTGTATAAAAGAAGCTAATTTTGATTAGATTACTCTCTTTGTCCCTGAAAAAAGTCGAGTTACCGTTTATGATGTTCAACTAAATTTATTTTTAATTTAATTGATTTGAAAATTGGTATATAAATTAAAAAGTGAAGTTATACACTCTGCACTTTCATCGTGGTTCTTTTGACAAAGGTTTTCGGTGTCATAACATAATACAAGCGCACTACGGTGCTCCATTGGGCACAAGACCGGCCCCAACCCCTTACCCCCTAGCCCCAGTCCATATCATCGATATGCAAGAATGGTGTACCAAATAAACGATAGGGGGTTAAGGGGAGTAAGACTTGGTCCCAGCCCAACGAAGCACCGTAAGGATCCCAAATGCTTCGGTGTCATATTATGACACCGAGGCTACGTGTCAAAAGAGTCGCGTCATTAAAATTATATGGAACAAAAGCTGACTTGGCTAGATATATCTAAGTAAAAATGATAAAGTTTGACACTGTAACCTTATTTAGGGAGGCAGGGAGCATTAAAAAAAGTGTCCCACACAAATGTAGTAAGCCAAATTTAGTTAAACCAACAAATAAATATTACTCTGTAAAAATGTAGCTATATTTGATGATTTCTGATCGTTTTGCCTCACTAAAACTAAAAGGTTATTTCCAAAAAAAAACTAAAAGTTGGGTGTTTGAAAATAGAACTCTTTTTATGGGATGGGGCTATTGAACTTGTGATAAAAATGATGCATTGTGCAGACCATTGCAGAAGCAGCTGGAGAATGGTTTTTTGACAAAGAACAGTTTCAGAAGATAGATTGCCCTTACCCGTGCAACAAAAGCTGCTTCTAGCATAATTCTTGATCTGGCCTCCATGGATGTATTATATACAATGGGAAAGAAAAAGCATTAAGTTTGTTAGATAGAAAAAGCATTAGAGTTTGTTAGACAGAAACTTCAAGGCTATGTTTGGTTGGACATGAGGAGAGGGAAAGAAAATGTGTGGTGGAGACTGGAGATTAAAAGATTCGCAAAAAATTAAGAATCTTCTATTCTCCACCACTCATTTTCATTCCTTCTGCTCCCCTCCAACCAAACAAAACATAATTGTTTTAGCCATTAAAATAAAAAAAATTGTCATTAATAATCTGAACTTTAAGCAATCAACTAAATCCAAACTTCAACTCGTTTCAGAATCATTGTGAATTTTAACACCTTCATGGCTTCATCCATTTATGCACTACGAACTAACATCGTTAGTTCTCCATTAATATTTTCTTTTTAATAATTCAATTTCTTTGCGATCAGCCTACAACAATCCAACATCAACTCATTCTAATAACAATGTGAAATGTAATACACTCATTCACTTATGCTCCATGCCCATGTTCCAGTTAGGTTAAGTTCAATTCCGTTCAGTTTAAACTTTTTTTCTTTTCGACTTATTTTTAATTCACTTCGTCAGTTCGTAAAAACAAAAAATAACTATAGTTCAGTCACATTCATTAAATTTTAATCCAAAAGAACGGCTTCTTAGTAAAATGTATGAATAATAGCAAGCTCAAAACAATTTCAAAATATTATCAATAAAACACTATTGTGCTTTGTTTTGGGTATCAATGTAAGTGTGAAGAATTTGCTAAAATTGTGGCTAATATAGCTGAATTAATTACTAAAAGGCATGCAGTACTTTTTGTTTCTTAGTTGCCAGTAATCAGCCACTTTAATAATGTCTAGGCCTACAAGTACTCAGTCCATCTAAAAAGTTCACATTTCAAAACGTTTTTTCCCCATGAGAAAGTCCAACTTTAACAACGAAGGAAACTGCTTTTCTCTGAAATTAATGTGAATTGTAATTTTTTCAGAAAAATAAAGGAAAAAGAAAGAAAAGGTTACAAAGAAGTGTTTTAACTTAGATGACAAAGCAAACAAATTTTAAAATATAAGTAAGATTGACAGTTTTAAAGACTGTACCTTACCAAAATCAAAATGTTGATGAAATTTGACTCTTTTTCCCTGGGACAGAGGTGATAATGTTTTTTAGATGGAAATTTAGTTACTGAAATTCATATGAGACAACCAAACATCACAAATTTAAAGATTTCTTCGACTTAGTTGAGAAACAAGCTGGTCGAGAGCTGCCATTGCTCGAGTTGATGGGCCTATGGAGCCCTCATACCTGTGTATAGATAAGCACACAATTTAGTGACAGAAAAAGAAATTTGATAGAGAATACTGAAAAAAAACATCAAATGCACAGGGTCCGACTGGAACTTGAATTGTGTATTAGTGATTGGGACGAAATAGAAAAGAAAATAGAGAGGAAGAAATAAAATGTGAGGGAACTAAAGAAAGTTTCAAAAACAATTTACTCCCTACGTCCTAGAAAAGGTTCCACATGACAAATCACACAATCAAGAACTTTTTTAGGGACTGATGGAGAATCAGTTTTAACTATTTGTTTAAAAAAATTATATTTGAGTATTTTTATTATGTAAAGGCTAAGAAGTCTAAATATATTGTAAGATTTTTATTTAAAAATTTATATTTTATGTTCTTTTGTATTTTTTTAATGTAAACCCAAACATTAAAAAAACAGTTTTCCTTGGTTGGTTTGCTTGTTTTTCCTTCCCTACCATTTACCGAATTCCAAAAATAGCCTTACAGTCCAATCAAGAGGAATGCTGCAGTTTTCATAACAATTACACCTTCACCAGCAGGTTTAGAAGTGTCCATGCTTCTTGCACAGAACCAGGTCTCATGAATTGATGTGACAAGATCTGTTAAAAACATAATTTTAATCAACCAGGATATACCAGTTTAAAGTTGAAATTAATGTCTTGAAAATATTATTGACAATATCAACTTCGCTCACTGTTTCCTAATGTGTTTTGATACACATAATGCTATACATAACTTGGATGATAGCTCCAAAATCTAAGAGCATTTAGGAGGTCTCCTTTCAGAGTTCCTGCCCCAGTAAACCATGTAATGTAGTGGTTCCCAAAAGATAAACAACATTATCAGTTATATTCACTGCTCAATGTGACGGAACTGGTAACTAAACCATAAGATAGCATGCTTTGGAAATAAGGGCATGTTCGATAGAGGCTATTTGGCTGAAATGGCTGGCTGAATCTGCTGAGTTTTTTGAATAGAAAAACTATTGGTAAGACCAATTTCATCCAAATAAAAAGTCAAAGGCGTCCTATTCTGCTTATTTTGATTATTCGGCTGTAAAAAAAAGCCAAAAATGCTATGACCCAAATTACTAGAAAAAATTGTAATGCAAATGTGGTAAACCATTGAACTCACATTGATTCTGCCTGAGACAAAAAAGCTCACTCTGGAGCTTATTTCTCTTAACAAAGTTAACAAGTTGACTCAATTCTGTAAGATCTGCATTTATCCCCTCTTGCTCTGCACTACATGAGATATATAATCAATTGTTTCAAATTCCTATATCTGATAGCCATGCAGTAACTTGAAAAATGCATGGTTAAGCGTACAAAAGACTCTAGTATTTTTTTTCTTCATCAGACTCTGTCTTACTCCCAAAATGAAGCCAGTATTTATTCACTTTTTTTGGCTTTGGGTCATGATGGAATAAAGCAAATTGCCTTTTTAAACTGTATGTGTTTCTTTTAATAGTTAAGTAGCAGTTAGTCAATGCAACGTTCAACGCTCATCAGGAATCATCCGGAAAAAGCTACTCTATGTTTTACGCAAAGGGGTCAGGCTGCGTATGTGATTACCTGTGGTGTTTGAGTCGGGGTCTCTTTGGAAATAGTCTTTTTACTTTCGAGTACGGGTAAGGTCTACACCCTCCCAACCCTCCTCAGACCCTACTTTTGTTTTGAAAGAAGGAATCTTTATTTTCCTAAATTAGGAGTCTAGAGTATATACACTTTAGCCAAGTAGCTACATTTACAACAAAACACAAATGCACACACACAAACACACAGACATAGGAGATCAACAATATTCAGCATGTTAGCATTAACGAAATTGATAAATCCTACTCAGTATTAGATATTGTTAGAGTATAAAAAAATGCTTTTGGGCCTTCAACCTCAAACTTTTGTGGTTAAGTTGATTCTTTGACATGGTATCAATGTCTTGTTGACCTAGAGGTCATGCCGACTCACTTTTAAAAAGTTAATGTTTAATTGCAATGCTCAAACCAACACAACTTGTCAGCCCGTGAAGAGACATGTTAAAGTATAATAAAAACATTTCCAGACTTTCAACACAAACTTGAGCTTGTGGATGAGTTAGTTTTTTGGCAGATACATACATAGCAGCCATTGCATTAGTCAGTGCCTTTGAGGCTTTGACACAATCTTTTTAAAGAGCTCACATGTTAAGAGCCTGCAGATGACAATCTTTAGAGCACACTTTTTTTATTGAAAAAAGTGTGCCTGTGCAAAATTGCAAACCGTTCCCATACTTTGCAATAGAGAGATTGTTCTCAAGAGAACATGATTCAACAAAAAAGCACACATTAAGTAATCACAACACTAGACCCCAAGCACAGAAAGCAGACACCCTACAAACATAGACAACAAGGAAAAAAACAGAAGCAAAAACTATGAAAACAAGGTCCGCCCAATTGCTCTAATCCTATTTTTCCATGTGGCTCCTATCTAAGATCATATACTCGTAAAGTGTCTCCAAATTATCATCTCAAATTTTTGTTCCCATAAACACAATCATTCACATTATTCCTCAGCAGCAATAATCTCACAGGGGGAGGGATTGCAACAATCAGTCAGTCTGGTAGCCGTGAAATCAATCCACTGAAACAAAGACGAAGAAAAACAGCTTTGCACTTACATGGTAGATAGAAGGCGAGAGGGTCCAGTTGGATCATAGTTTAGAAGCAAAGCAGCCTTCAAATGTCGATCTTAAAGTCACACAATCCACAGTATCAGTAAACTAAACCATCGTCGTCGTCGTCGTCATCTATAAACTCCATATGAAATAGATCGAAACGAAAGCACAGTGAACTGGTAATCAGAACCATAACGGAGTATATGCATCACGACTCACCAGAACAACCAATGTGGTTAGATGCCCATTTGTCCCAGATCTTATGCACAGCAGCCCAATCCATTGCGGTCGGGCGCGAGAAACCGTCTGTGACCGGTGATTCGCTCAGGCGCGGCCGCGCGGGTGGCGATAGAATAGAAAGAGTTTTGATTGAAAAGTTTTGAAAGATTTTGAGAAAAAAATTCAAGCAAGTTTTGAAAGATTGAAAAGTTTTGAAAGATTTTGAAATAACTCTCAGATCTCAGAAAACAGCAGAGGTCCTTACATTTTTTTGTAATGACTGGAAAGAGACATTTCATCTAATATTTCATTTATAAACGTTAATAAATGTATTTTTTTCCTATTCTTTTCTAAATGTTTTAAGGTAATAAATCTTAGGTCGCTCCTTTTTTAATTTCTTTGTTTTTTTCATTTTGTTACTATTTTTTAAAGTGTTATTTTAGAATTTCTTCTATAAAATCGTATAAAAATTCAAAATTGTTTGTATTATATTAAAACAAATGAAATAAAAAAAAAATAAAAAAAGAAAAAACAAGATAATGGCAAAATAGGAAAAAAAGGTATTGGAAAAATAGGAAAAAAATACATTTATTAACACTTACGGATGATGTATTGGATAAATGTCTCCTCCCAATCATTACAACAAAATATAAGGACCTTGGTTGTCTTTTTGAAAATAGAAGAACCTGAAAGTTATTCCGACAAAACTCGCTTCACCCGCGAGTAATTTTCTGAAAGATTTTTGGTGTTTGGGTAGAGATGAAAATAGAAAAGAAAAGTGGAAGGAAAAAAAATGAGAAGGAAAAATATAGAGAAATGCTAGAGGTACACTACCAAAGGTGTACCCAAAAATACATCACCCTCTTCTACACTACTCATTTTTATTTGATTTTTATTTATTTATTTTTTTTTAAATTTCTTGCCTTTTTATGTTGACAAAGAGAGGTGGGTTTTCTTTTCAAAAAATATACTAAGAAAAGAATAAACAAAATTCCTTCTATTTTGGTGGGGAAATTAAAAAAAAATTGTTTTTTTCCTTTTCCTTTCAAATTCTTTATACCCAACATAGTGTCACACCATGATTTGAAAGAGAAATGAAAGAAATTAAGATGGAAAACAGTTTGGTTAGAAAGGAAAAGAAAAGTTGATTGAAAAGAAAATAAAAGGGTAAAATATACTCCCTCCGTCCTAAAACTTTTTTCCCATAGCACTATTCCAACTTCACGGGAATTTATATTTATTTGTGTTTTTTCATGGCCTATATGATAAAATAAAATATTCTTGTCACCACTTGTTTTGTTAAAGTTTTGATGTAGTTTTTAAATATGTATGTTTTATTTTTTATTTCTATACCAATATTTAAATAAAATAGATTGAAAAAACTTAAGATTTTTTTTCGTTTGACGCAACGGGGCCTATTCTTTAGGGCTTAAACTCTTAACTTTCAATTTATTTCAGTCCTCCCAATTCTTTCTAGTTTCTTTCAGTTCCTTCCAGTTTCTTCAAACTCTCTCTACTTCCTAACTAATTACTCTAAAAATAATATATTTTAAATGTTATTAATATTATTATTACAACATGGGCGTTATATATGGAACTTAATTTTAATACGTACGAACTTGTTTAGACATCATACATTCGTAAACTGCATAGTAGGAAGATCTCGCAGAGCTATAGTAAACGGCGTATGATAATGTTCTCGTACGTATGAGACGCACGAATGAGGAGGAGACGCACGTATGAGGAGGAGTGACTACGTGAATAGCCTAAGTTTAATCAAATAATTAAAAGTAATTTTTTTTGAAGGAATAATTAAAAGTAGTTAAAAATAGTAGAATATAATAAAAGACAGATTGTATGCTTGGAAGATATTGAGACTATAAATAACTAAATCCATATAAAAGATTAAGGAAAGTTATATGCGTAATATTAAGTGACTTAGAATGCTACATAGGGTGATTTCTTTACATATATTTCCATACTCGTTTAAAAAATATTACATTGAAGATAATTATATTCAAAAAATCAAATAATTAAAAGTAATTTTTTTTTGAAGGAATAATTAAAAGTAATTAAAAATAGTAGAATATAATAAAAGACAGATTGTATGCTTGGAAGATATTGAGACTATAAATAGCTAAATCCATATAAAAGATTAAGGAAAGTTATATGCGTAATATTAAGTGACTTAGGCTCCGTTCCGTTCAACTTATTTTTTCTGATCTGATCTGATTCTAATAAGTTCTGATCTGAACTGGTCTGATCTGATTGGATCTGATCTGATCTGATCTGATTGGATCTGATCTGATCTGATATGATCTGATAGGATCTGATATGATCTGATTGGATCTGATCTGATCTGATTGGATCTGATCTGGTCTGATCTGATTAATTATGATTTAATTTAAAATTTCAAATCAATAATTTAATTTGACTTTATAATAACGTTTGAAAATTGTAATGATAATTAATACTCCCTCTGTCCACCATAGATCTTCCCAATAGCCCTTTTTCTTTGTCCACAATAGATCTTCTCATTTCATTTTTTAACAAGTAAAATACCACAACTACCCCCACTTACTTTATTTATTACACCTCACCCACCCTATTTAATACACTCCACCCATTTTTCATTAAGGGTATTATGGTAAACTTTCACCTTTTTTCAATTCTCCTTAAAAACCACCAAAAGTCAAAATGAGAACATCTTAGGCGGACGGAGGGAGTATTATAATATAATCAATATTTTTTATTTAATGATTATTTTTTAATAAAATAAAAATAGATAATTCATATATTAGAATAATCATTCATATTATAATGTAATAATATTTTTTATTTTATGATAATTTTTTTGTAAAATTAGAATTATACATTAGAATAAATATTTAATTTAGATATACATTTAAAAGTAATTAAATTTAGATAATCAATATATAGAAGAGATAGTATTTTTATTAAAATATCTCATCCTTATAAAAGATCAAAAGTTTAGAAACTCAAATTACAAGTAGCAATAAAAATATATTTTAAAAGTAGAATTAGATTGACATTGTCAATGTATTTTAAAACTAATTTTTCCGACGTCTAATAATTAAGGATTACTTTCTTAGCTTTTTTTTTAACCTATTTCTAAAGTTTATTCTTTTTCATTTTTAAGAATAATAATAATAATAATAATAAT